AAGCACTGAGGATATAATACATGCCTTTTCTGACAGAATATGAAGTCTGAATGTGAATGTCTGAAGCTACATTTGTAGCTGACTTGAATGATTTTTATCTCTTCCTGTTATTTAAAAGTTCAGCTTTGTATAGAGTAGTCTCTGTAGTCTACGTCTCGGACTGGATCTATCTTGTGAAATATGATTGTTCTGTTTTGTTTTCTGGAGGAGGCAAAGCAACTTATTTTGTAGTGTTTTCCTACAAATGGAAAGCGTTCTCCAGGAGAGAGCTGGGCTGCCGCTGTGTCTAGGTGCATGGTGTACTGCTTCCAGCAGCAGCAGATGTAGCCTGTCCCAGTAGTAGCTGACACCATCCTCACCCCATACGTGGTTGGCAGGAGCATCAGATGAGCTCTCTCTGGTGAGTTAAAGTAGTGCTCTTACTGCTGAGAGCAGGAGAAAAGTATGTTGCTTTGTGACTCATCACGGACTACCTGATGTGTGCATTGTGTGGAGAAAAATGATAAACAGAATAGATGCGGAGCTGCTGCATGTAAATTGGGTAATGTGGGCACAGAAGACATCAGTGATCCGAACATTTTATCTTCTTAAGACTGCAAAGATGATCCAGCTGTGATTCTCTAGTATGTTCTTAATATTGTTTGAAAAGCTGAAGGTAGAAGTTTAGGATGTAGAGACTCAGCAGTGCTCTTAACACAGTTAATGGGAAAATATTAAGGGAAACAAATGAGGTACTGTGGACAGGTCTTGTGAAAGAAAATCAAAATATAGGTAGTGGAGGGCTGACAAAACTGCAGTGATGTCTACTTCACAGCACTTGTTCCTTTTTGCTAGCAAACAGAGCAACTGGATAGTTCTTCCCTCTTTATTCTTGATTGTGTGCTTCCTTGGTTTTCTGTGGCTATGCAGTGGTTTGGATGAGGGAAAACTCATAATTTGCTTTGTGGATCAGATAATTTTTGTTTCAGACTGGCTTCCTGGTCCAATTCACTATAGTAAATGGAGTGTGCAGTTTGTTTTGGGGACCTCTATTTCCACAGGTACTGCTGATCAAACTAGAACCTGAGTCTCCATAACATGATTAACTGCTCAAACTAATTCCGTAAAAATGATTTGCTCCTCCTTCGTGGTATCTACTTAGTTTTGCTAGGGCAAGTGTTTGCAAGTTTGTACGGCAGGGAAGGTAATGGAATTGAATGGTATGGAGTTGAAAATAGCCATTTGATTCTTAGGTTATTTGTAAACTAGATTAGGTACTCAGTCCACTATATGGCCCTACAAATACAGTAGTATCACAAAGGAATGGATGTGTTGGGACTAGGAATGAGAGGCTGCCTATGTTGGCAGTGGTGTAGAAGATTTATATGTCAAACAATGTCTTTGAAATTTTAAGTGTAATATCCATTAAAAAAAAGTACAGATCAAGCTGATCTAACAGTTGGAAACATTGCTTCCCTAACAGCCATGTGCGTATAGATATTATGATGTCTGGTTTTTTTTCATAGGCATGCAGAATTTTATGTGTGTGAGTGCTAGATTAAAGATACTTTAAAACGGGGAGATATTCAGTAGTCTGTTTGATGGCATTTAATTTAGGTCATGACGCTGAAAACATACTTGCTACCAGTTCCTGATCATGCTGACTGCAACATTTCTGAGAACTGAAGGGCTTCAAGGACTCTGGTTAATGTCCCTAAGTATTCACAGTAACGAGACTTCATTTCATTATAATGAACGTAGTAGAATAGGTTTCTCTTGTTTTCAATATTCTACATAGAAACAGTATTCCATAGGTTTCAGAAGCTACTGCACGGAGGCGATCAGTTTGATTAGGGCCAAACTGGTATTTTTATCTTTCACTAGAGAATTCTGGTAGATGTGGATATTGAAATAACTTTTTTCCCACTTTACAGTCAGGTATGAAGCATGTTGACTGGTATTTTGGCGTTCTGAAGATCACAGTATCAGATCTTAGTCTGTTGAGAGTTATGTTTGAATTTGGTTTACTGAAAACTTGAAATAATTCTTATTTGCAGAAATCCCTTTAGTTACATAGCTGCATACTCAGATAGTTATGAGTGTACCATTTAATTGTCTAAATCTGTTGCGAGGTTTGAGCATGGTAACAGTTGTAAGCAGTATAATCTGATGTCTGTTGGGAATATACACGAGGAGCTTGATACATAGGAGTGTATGATAAGACAGCATCTCTGGAAATCTACTTTCCAAATTAAATGTTAAATTTCGTGCTGAACACAGCTTATCATTTCAAGTTAAATTTTAAATGGCACTTACTATATCTCCACAGGGGAACTTTAGCTTTGCTTTAAGTATTCCAGACTGGTTTTCCTAGTCATTGTGTGAGACTCAAGTTTTCATCTCTTGGAATTTTTTAGGGTAAACTTGGTTGTTTTAAAATGCATTAATTAGATTTTTTTGTTGTTGTTGTTGTGAAATGGCTTGACAATAGGAGGTTCAACAGTAATTGTAATTTGAAAATTCAACACATTCTGCACCTTTCAGGATACAGGGAGAGAGTTCAAACTTCAATTTTGCTGTGCCAGGCAGGAGTGTGGAGGTTGCTTCAGAGAATTTGGGGCTCTGTATGAAGGCATACAGAGCAAATCATAGTCGTTCAGGTTATCAGCCAAATACACAAACCAGACCTCTCAATCAAAAATGGGGTTTTGTGCTAATAACAGTTCCAAAAAGCTTTATAACGTTGTTTTATGAGATCTTTAATGTGTGAGAAGCCAGTTCTTCGTTGGTTTGAACTGGTGTGACTGGGGGTGACTTGAATTTAACTATTAGTTATATCAGTGGAAGGACTAGCTCTGAACACATATTCATATTTGTGCTTCTTTAAGCAGTAAAGCCATAGCTGAGGCTCATAATTTCTAAAATTATAGATTGTTTTCCTTTTGTTCTCAAATACTTTGACTATTAATAAAAAAAACAAAAAACAAAAACAAAATTGTTTCCTGGCTTCTACTCAGCTACTGTGGATGTACAGTGTGCTAATGTAAATCAGCAGTTTCTGCTTTTATAAATAGTCTGTCGGCAGCTGCAGAGCAATACTGACAAGTTTCTGGTCATTTTTATTATTGCTATTTAGAAATTGTTTGAATGGCTGTGAAAGTGTCCAGTGGTACTATGTCTGCTGTAGTGATATTTGCAGACTGAGATGAGGTTATAAGTAGGGAGAGGGAAAGATAGAGTACATTTATAAACCAACAATGTGAGAGTAGAGGGAAAGAGCTCCGTATTCCTTCATTTGGGAGTCCCTAACCTCAGTTTGGAGCTCTTCTGTATGAAAGACATGCTATCCAGCTGGCTAAAAGTAATGACTTCTTAAATGGGGTCTGGGGATAGGATTTATCTAACTTCTTTATAGTTGGATATAAGGCAGCCTTTACAAGCATGCTCTGTTGGGGAACATCATCATACAGTGCCCGGAGAAGCTGTCTCCTAAAATTTTCAGTTCCTTCTCTGCTGGGTCTGGTTTTGTCAGATGCATGGGAAAAAAACAGCCAGGCAAGAATTCTTACCTTCTACAGCATTCCTCCCCTCCTGCACCGTCACGGGAGCTCTCTTATATGGCTGAACAGCAACTCCTGCTGTCCTGCTTTCTGGAAGCAGGCTAGGAAGTGGTACCAGTGTGGCCTGCAAGAAGGAGGAATGCTAACAGGCCAACGAAGTTACCGCTGTTTGCGGACACCGGAGAGGTTGCCAGGACAGAAAAAGTACTGAGTATCTTTCATGTGAGTTTTGTTGAAGTCCTGTGTCTGTGTTTACATGTGTGGGGTTGTTTATTCTTGAAAGCTAGCAACCTTCTCTTAAGACAGGTCTCAGGAAGTATCTTGGGCTAGGAAAAACTGCTTAAGTACATATAAAATGGAGGGTAAATTCAGCTTGTGCTGGAAGATATGGGATGACTTTATATTCTCCCTCTAATAATAGTACATTTTTTGAATCTTGATACCCAACCTCTGTGAATAATACATAAATGAAAGGAAATTATTAAATGTAGTATTATGATGGCAAGTGGAAGTAGAGAACATTTGTCAACTGCTGCTTTAGAAACAGCACTATCAGCCTGTGAGGTGTGGCTAAAGATCATATAAAAGTGAAATTCAGTGTATTCCACAGCCTTGGAAATTGGAAAGTTTCTTAGCATCTTAATTGTATGTTTTACCAGTGCTGTAATCTCTATTATTTATACTGAATTAGATCTTAGTGGTGTTAACTGTTGTTCAAGGAGAAACGCAGAACCCTGACAACCAGACCCTTAGCTTATTATTTTTAATGTTATTTGAAATGTATGTTCTTAAGCATCTAAGGGATATCTTCTGGCTTGATAGCCTAAATATTTTTAGGTGCTCTACTACTAGAAAAATGGATCATACTAATTCTTCTTAGAATAAAATACTGACAATGTGAAAAAGCACAAAACATGTTTAAAAAGAAAACATGGACTTGTTCTTTTTAAAAATTATTCCTCTCACATTCTATTCAGTTACCATTTTAAGGGAATAATTATAGTTCATTCACTGTGAATGACCATTTGTGGCAATAATGAGGTCTGAATAACTGGGAGAGATGAGGGATAGGGTGTTTGACAGATCTTTGCTGATTGTTATGAGATCTAATAGAAGCACAAAGTTTATATTCAACTAGTACAAAGTTTATAAAAACTAAAGAATAAAAGAGTTCTTTTAAAGTTTATTGCTAAAATAGAGTATAAAAGATTGCACTTTTAAGCATTTAGATAAAAGATGAGGATGTTGTATACTAGCTTAGTTCCTTTTATAAAGTATAGAAACTCTAAACATACAAAGTGTCTTTTCTGGAGTGAATGGAAAGGAGGAAAAATGGTAACTTTGATGTAGGATTAGTTTGACTTGTATAATTCTTTGTCCTTTAAAGACAGGCAAAAGGAGTTAATTCCAAGAATCTGTGTGAGAGATTTTATTAAAATAACCTTTTATTTCTGCTTTTAGTCTGCAGATAAGCAGCGAGCCCTGGAAGAAACCAAAGCCTACACAACCCAGTCATTAGCAAGCGTAGCCTATCTGATCAACACTTTGGCCAACAATGTTCTCCAAATGCTGGATATCCAGGCATCCCAACTTCGACGCATGGAATCTTCAATCAACCATATTTCACAAGTGAGTCTTTTTTTCCTGTTGTGGGGTGGGGGTGGGGTTTATGTTTGTGTGTGGGTTTTTTGTGTGTGGGGGTTTTGTTTTGTTTGGGTTTTTTTCCTCTTTTTGTTGTTGAAATGACATAGCAAGTAAAACTCACCTGACATTTTGTGAATGAGAAAAATAGTCACGTTTGAAAACCGAAGGATGCATTTCATCTCATGTTAATTCTGGAAATGTGTCTCATTATTTGATTGTATATATGTGTTAGTGTGAGCATTTTATGTAGGGTAAGAGATTAAATGTATTCTTGGCCAGTTTATTGTTTGGAGAGGGAGCCATTCTGCAAAAGTGAAAAGCACAGAAATTGCTAATGAAAAAATCAGTATATTATGTTAAGGGACAGATTAAGCTTTCCAACTCGTATTTGGTGGTGTACTGTACTTGGTATTTACTGGCTACAGGCACTTAAAAGAACGAACTATGAAATGGATGATGGAAAACAACACTTGTAATAGTTTTACTTTTCCTGCTACTGTAATACTGGCCTCTAATGACAAAAGCACATAGATGACAAAAATAGTTTGCTTCTGGCTTTTCTTAATAAAGTGTGCTTTGTAATGACCAATGAAAGGAACAGAAGTCAGAATTAATGTTTTGAGTTTGTGTATGGCTGCAGAACTCCTGCCATTGCTTGCAGTTTTTCTGAGCAGCAATAAACTAAACTGCTACTATCAAGGAACCCATGTCCCATCACCACACTGATGAGGGAATTTGGACTGCCAGAATGGGCCAAGGATGGATAATGCATTTAGTGGAGGTTTACATGCCAATGATGGATTAAAAGAGAAATTAAGAACAAGGATACAGCACTTTCTGTTTTTCTGTTACTGGAGAGACGGTTGGCATCCTTAAAGAATATTTTGTTTCTTATTTGACCAATACATTTTGGCTGCTAGGGTTTCTTAATCTCCATGTGATAATGTCATAAATTAAAATAAAGAATACTGTGGTATTTAGAAAGACATTTGAAAGTAGGAGATCTATAAGGTAGGAAAAAAGCTGATAGAGTTGATCTGCTAATTTGCTGGTGCTGAAAGGGTTGCTGAGCTAGTAGAGTTTTGAACCAGCAAAAGAAGTGATTAATTTTATGGTGTCTTAATGGGCTGAATTGGCTCACTGAGGGCTCAGATGAATTCCAGAGCAGGTGCAAAGGAAGATGTGGGGAGGATTTTCCCTTCTGGTAGTAGTGCAGTGTTAGATTGCCTCAGTTATCTCATGCAACTGCATCCTCAAAAATAAACTAAGAAGTTTGATTTCTTCTGCTACATGCTTTTTGTTAATCCATAGACAATTCAATTAATTTTTTTTCCCCCAGAAAATGTCACAAATTACTCTGTATGTGTGCGTATGTATATGTTCAGTATATATGCTGTGTATGTGCCTCTGTGTGCATATATGCGTGTGTGTGCTTGTGTGTGTATGTATGTGCTTCTTGACAGGCTAGTACAAGCTGGAAAGTATTTCAGCTGTTTGAGAGTCTGATGCAGAAGACAGTGTATGAATAAAAATATTAAGAGTTCACAGTTTCTGTAAAGTAGCTTTTGGGGAAAGGGACATAACATTTAAAATTTTTTCCTTCTGGGAAACTGAGACTCATGCAGATTGAGATGCTAGATTAGATTGTCTTTAGCGTTTGTACAAAATGGCTAGTTATTTAATATGGAGCACTGAGTTATCAGCACCCAACACATAAGATGATGTATCTTCCAAAATTCATAGGCTGCACTTGAACGATAGAAAAAAAAGTTTTTGTTTTTTTTTTTTTTTTGTTTTGTTTTCTTCAAATATGACTGTAAAATTGAAAATTGAGTTTGGTTGTGTTTTTTTGTTTTGTTTTGTTTTTTTTAAGTTTGTATCATCCATATGTAGGATGCTCCCCAAATCTCCGTGGAAGAAATGATATCAGAGGAGCAGAAAGTATTTGAATTTTGCATATTGCAAATATGAAGTTTGTTGATCCAAGGAACTTCATAAAGTTGAATTCAGTATGTTCAGAGATGGCTTCATTCCATGATACCAATGTTGTAGATGGTTATATTATCTGTCTTAATTTCAGTGGTTATTTTTCTTTAAAAAATGAATTTATTTTGTCACAGTTTCTGTGTAATAAATAATTTATTTTCAGGAAATTTCATTATATTCCCCTGGAACAAGCCTAACCTGCAGAAGTCTTCCTTGGTATTTATGTTGTATGTGAAGTTTAGTGGACTGTTTTTAGTATCACTTAAAAGGCCTCATGGTATAATACCTCCTTGCTGAATCATGATTTCAGTCAGTCTGATTTGAAATGATCTCAGTAATGTAGAACAGAAAACAGGTTGATAATTACCATCTGCTCGCAGTGCATTATTGCATGAATGCTTTGGTTATTGGGTATTGATATTTAAGTTTAGAAAACACTATTGCAAATTATGATGTCTGGATGTGTAATCCTGCTTTTAAGTCTGATTTGGAATTCCATATATTCTCCAAAGAAGGTAAGAAAATCATTTGGCTCTTGATAAGAAAACTTTTTCACAAGTGCTTGTTTTGTTCAAGTGTAGCTCAAACTGGAAGAGACGTGATTAACTTCAGATGATAAAATATTCTAGTTCTCTGTTCATTGGTAGAAAGTGATATAAATTGGCATTCTGTGTTTCCTTCTAAATGACAACTTAATCAAAGAGCTGAAAAGGAAGCTGATAATGATTTGTGGTTTTTCAGATTATATATAGGTCCTGAAATAAGGAAATTCTTACCACTGAAACTATTTTTATGCAAGTGAATAAATCCTATTGGTTTAAAATTTAGGGTTATTTTGATTTGGTCTGAAAGCTGATGAATCTATTCTTATTTGCCTTCTTGAACCTTGTCCAGAACTAGATGATATGCAGTGTTTCATATTTGGCTGAAAATTTAAATCCTAAATAGAGATCATTTGAATAAATATTTGTACTTGTTAAAAAAACTCTGTTACATTTTCAAGTTGGCAGACACTGTGAAATGCTGCTAACATCCAAATTCTTTAAATTAATCTGGCAGATTTTCAGCTTTTAATATTTGTATGATGAAAAATATTTTTTCAGGTTTAGTTATAGAATACTCTTAGTTAGCAAGGTCATCTGTAAAACTGTTCTGTGCTGCTAATTATATAAACAAGCATGTTACACAAAGATGAGTGATAGTGATGAGTTATCTCCAATGGCGCTGCATGGCGGAGAAATCTGCTTCATCTTCCACTTACAAAATCTGATGTCCATGCCATTGGCCATGAGAATAGGACTTGAACTTTTCTGTAGTCAGCATGCGTTCCTTAGCTGAACTGTGGCAGCACATATGAGCTCATTGGTCTCTGCAGGGAAGTTCCCTTGGACCTTCCATTGATAAGTCAGTAAGGGCTTGTAACCGTTTTCAGTTGTCTTATTCTTGCAAGTTACAAGAACAGCCAAACTCTTTCAAAAATGGTGATGCAAGTATAATTTTCCACAGTATATATTACTGGTTTATGGAGCAAGTAGCTTTTCAGCATTTTTATATCATTATGACCTCTTTCTTTGTGTATAAATTACATACAGCTTGAGTTGAAGCATTTAATGTCACATTTCTAACATGTCAAAATCAGTCAGTCATTTTAAAGTAATAATCCAGTTTTCAACATAATTGCAATTAGGTTGTTTAAATTCTATCAAATTATATTAAAAAAAAAACCAAACACAAAAAACAACAACAAAAAAACCCAAACAAAACAAACAAACAAACAAAAACCAAACAAACAAAAAACAAAACAAAACAAAAAAAAAAAAAAAACAAACAAAAAAAAACCAAAATCCCAGCAACAATGTATTTAAGCAATGTTTTCTTCTAAGATTTTTTTTTTTTTTTTAAACTGAATTTTAAAAGCCCAGACTGACAATAAAATGATACATTTAAATTAGTGTGTCTTGAGAAGAAGAAGAAATCAAGGCTTCTGGAGACTTTTATTTCTGAAATTTCACTACAGTTTACTTTCAAAGTGCTGTTGTGGTTTAACCCCAGCCAGCAACTTAAGCACCACACAGCTGCTCTCTCACTCCCCACCAGGAGGTTGTGAGGAGAGAGTCAGAAGGATAAAAGTGAGAAAACCTGCGGTTTGAGATAAAACCAGCTGTGATAATTGAAATAAAATAATAATGATGATGATAATAAATTGTAATGAAAAGGAAAATAACAAAGAGAGAGAAATAAAACCCAAGAAAGCAAAGTGATGCAAATCAAAACAGTTACTCCCACCAACTGACTGATGCCCAGCCAGTCCCCAAGCAGCAGCCCTCCCAGCAACCTCCCTTCAGCTTTATATGCTGAGCATGACACATATGGTGTGGAATATCCCTTGGGTCAGTTGGGGAGAGCTGTCCCAGCTGTGCCCCCTCACAACTCCTTGTGCACCGCCAGCCTCCTTGCTGGTGGGGTGTGGTGAGAAGCAGGAAAGGCCTTGGTTCTGTCAGGTTGCTCAGCACTAACAAAACCAACTCTGTATTATCAACACTTTTCAGCACAAATCCAGAACATGGTCCCATAGTAGCTACTGTGAAGAAAATTAATTCAGTCCCAGCCAAAGCCAGCACAAGTGTTAACTTAGGACTTAGAGAAATTTCACATATGGGTAGAAGGTAATATTCTCTTCTCAGAACTTTGAGTTCAGTGACTTTGAAGTGATAAATAGTGTTAACTTTGGAATGCCAGAAATGGTTTAATGTTTTTTCTATTTTAATATTTACAGATCTTAAGGCTGTTTTTATTGAATTTGATATGGAAAATTGATGTTTCAAAATGTCCAGAAACTTCCTAATAGGAAAAAATACAGTGGTTTATACTTGGTTTTTTTTTTTCCCCTTAAGCTATCTCTTGGCTTATTGCGGGCATCTTGGAAAGCATATGAGAAGATGATAGTAATGAGTCTAACCTCTAACAAACTGTCATTTAAAAGCTTTTACCAAAGAAAATGGATCTATGCGGAGTGGAAAAAATGTGTAATGATGCTGCCAGGAGTCTGAAATTGCATGTTAGGAAACAGTGTTTTAAGTTATAGAAGGGCATAGTGTATCCCATCTGCTTTTCCTGACAGACTTTCCAAGCCAGGTGTTACGTTAGTCCAGATCTAACCCCCAGAACCTTCTCAGTAGAAGTTTCTAAACTGCCGAATAAATATTCTGCTAGCATGGTCCTGTCTCACTTAAGGGATTTATACTGGTGCTGGAGGCAATAATTACCTGTGTGTTGAGGATGTTTTGTTTTCTTTAGTAGCAGGTTAATCTTTGTTACTTTTTCTACTAATCAAATACCTCAGTGTTCCTTTCTGCTGTTTTTATAGGTGTCTTAATATCTTATGACTCCAATAGTCTACTAAGCAAGAAAATTAAAATTTTGAAAAACCTGCCAGCAAAATGTTTCTCAATACAATTTTAGGAGTATGCGCCAGTATTAGGTGCTGGTTTTATGCTCTTACTCGTTCCATAGCTATTCAAGGTAAAAGAGATGTTCTGAATCATCATGCAAGAAAATTCCCATTAGATGAACTTCAGGTTTTAATTAGGTTTTACACATTTCATTGTTTGTTACTGTAGTCATGACTCACTGATCACCGTAGTCCTTAAGGAAATCAGTTGTACTCACAACTCCTATGAATAATTTTAAAAATACACTTTTCATTCATGGAAACAAGTTTCCACAGTGCCAAGATACCATCACTGCAATAACATGTGCATTAAATACTTGTACTCACATTGTATTTATATATAATTGCATAAGAAGATACTAAAAGAACATGTTAAAAGTTGCAGAGGTCAAGCACTTGAAATGGAGAGAAAGGAAGAAATCATCTTGCCAATACTACGCTAATTACTTTACTTTCTTTCTAATCTGTAAACTGAAGTTAAGGCTTTAAGAGTGTAGTGTCCAAGGCATAAACTAGTTTTGAATGACTAGATTCAGACCCATAAGATTTTGATGTTTCGGTACATTTGAAACATCATACAGCATTTGAGATACAGCTGCTGTTGCAGCTGAGGTTGTTTAACATTCTAGCAAAGGGTATCAGCGGCCTGTGAGACAAAGAACATACAAGAGTCAGTGTAATGTTTCTGCAGTTCTCTAGTGACACGTCTGGATCACAGATGGAGTCTGAGATAATTGTAGGGATTGAATTCTTCAGTGGTGTAAAACATGAGACTGTCCTCCAAGTTGTTGCAATCACGTATCGTTAGCTTATCAAGAAAGTATGTGCTTTCTAACTCCTCAACAAGTGAGGTGAGGATTCCATAGATGATCTCCTTGGTGTCACTGCTGCTTGTTCCAGAAATTCTCCTTCCACTATGCTGCAAAAGCAAAGATCTGACACAGAGAAGGGATAAAAACCTGTGGCAGTGGATAAAATACTGACTCTTACCCTGATGCAGAATGTTACACTTTGGTACTCTGGCCTGGAACATGTTTATGTGCTCTGTTTGTGCTGTGGTGTACAATCTATAATACCATAAGAGCTGTGAACATCTGATCGCCACTGTTGCATTGGGGGATGGTATATAGATCTGGTCATCTCAGGGAGCTTCACAGAGGACTTTGGCAGAATTGGTTGGACAGTGGTTTAGTTGTTAAGTAGTCCTAGAAATATATGTGTTTGTTAAGCATGTGTGAACTGTGAATTTCTGCAGAGTTTATATGTTGGTCAGATCTGGATGCGTTTTCGTGAGGGTGATGGAGGATGTCCCAGATAGTTTAAATACCCCTATTACATTTCAAATCATTGTTCAACAAACTCGAGCTTTCCAAAGAGTGATTTACCAACATATTTTGACCTTGAATAATCTATTTTTCTGTAGCTTTGTTTTAAGAAATAGCTGTGCAACTTTAGTAGAAACCTTACAGTTCTAGGCCGGTGGTACTAGAGGTGGCAGAAACGTACATGACAAAGCTGTATTTAGGGCTTAATTTTAGCAAAGTTGCAAGATTTTGAAAATATGTCTCTGCAAAATACTAGCTAATCTTGATAGATAGTAATTTAATCTTCTTTATAATGCCCCTGGTAGTTATGGAAATTCTCTGGAAAGAATGTGAAGAAAGAACTTATTGGAAATGTTCTTGTTTTGTTTTTATAATTTTTGTAGTTTTAAAGGTTGTGATGATGACATAATACAGGGTCCATTTTGCTTGTTTTATCAGCAACACAAACAAAAGAGTAAAGCAGTGTAACCAACCCCACTGCCCCAATCCTTCCCCACAGAAAAATAAAATTTTAAAAATTTCTGTTATGAAAATGAGTTCTCATTTGTACCTTTTCCTTAGTTACTACAGAGCCCGTCTCCTAACTGTGAGAAGTCTTTCTGGTACCATTCATGATCACTGAAGTGGTAATGAGAAATCCTGTGAATGTTTAGAAATTCTAATGGTGATGATTCTGGCTATTTTCTTACTTTTTTTAGCCTGTAGCTAAAATGTTCATTCACAACTCTGGCAAATGTACTGTAAGGAAAGCTGTTTTGTGAGCAAAGAGTTACTTTTGTTTTAAATGATGCAAGCAACTCTGTGCACCATGATTTAAGAGATTTTACTTTCCTGAAAGGGATAGATAGACTTTTTACTAACTTTTCCCTAGTCTTGTTACCAAATAAAATTCAAGTACATGTTTTTAGGCAATCGGTTTTCCTCAGGGCTGTGTCTTACACTAGAGATTCTCCTATGGTACTCTGTAATACGTGGAGGGCGGAGAGATTTTCAGTGTTGGCCTTAGGCATACGAAGTGAAGCACTGAGCTTAACCACTCGACTCATTGTGAATAAATTAGTATTGAACACCTTCTAAAATCTAATCATTGCTTTGTGATGAGTGATTTGTAATGACTGAAATACCTTGTTGATTTGTCTGAATGAAATTTTATTCTTTCATATGACTAACAGTCCTAGTTTAGCAAACTGTTTCACAGTGTAAGAAAAGTTGGTTATGATTTTTTTTCAGGTCATAAAAGTGAAGGTTTGGGAAGGTATCCTTACACTTCTAGTTGTTGGAGCCTATTTCAAAGACAAGCTTAGAGAGCAATTGTGAAATGAAAAATGATAATTGAAGGAATCATATAAAACAGTGTCAGTAAATTAATGGGAGCTACTACGAATGGAAGGGAGATAGAATTTTGCTGAACTGTAAAGAATGAGAGCAACAGAAAACCCAGAGAACCTATAGCTATTACTGTGAGTTTAGAGGTGGCAAGTTCAATGATAAATTGAACAAAGATGATATAATCAAGTATACGTAGTGATGTTTAACACAGTATACAGGGATCTTCAACATGTTGGAACTGATTCAATTTTTTTTTATACTGACTCTATTCAAATGCATACCACTGTTAGTAAATACACTGCGTCTTTTGTAGACGGTGGACATTCACAAAGAGAAAGTTGCTAGAAGAGAAATTGGTATCTTGACTACAAACAAAAACACCTCAAGAACTCACAAAATCATTGCACCAGCTAACTTGGAGCGACCAGTTCGCTACATCAGGAAACCTATTGATTATACAATTCTAGATGATATTGGACATGGAGTGAAGGTAGGTGATATTGTTAAAACAGCCAAACTGCAAATACATTGTCTTTGTATATTTTCAAAATAACTTGATGCTTTTTATGGTAAAATACCAGTTTCTCCTTGCCTGGTCAGTGTGTCTATAAGCATAAGAGGAGTCCAGTTTGCAGTTGTCCCTTTCCATTCCCTTGCCCCACTATTTCTAAACATTGCAAACCCACTGAATCTTATTTCTGAGGATTTTTGAAACTATGGGTCTCACCTGTAAAATGCTTCTGAATACCTACTTGTGTGATGCTGCTATTACTGTTTGCCTCAGTTTCCAGGGATATAACTGGAGACTGAAAAGCTAATGACCTTCACTTTTTCTGCCTGAATTAGCTCCACAAAGTATCATCCAGCTGTAATTGCCACTGGTTTACTTTGAAGCTCACCCAAAGAAAGGGTTTGCATGAGAAGTATTATGTGTTCCCTTTTCTTTTTTCTGTCAGAGTCAGTTATGCCATATCCTGTGATGTGCTTTGTTAAAATGAGCTCTCTACAACTTTTGTGCCGTATGGGGTTTCAGAATTGGAATATTGCTGCCAAGTTTGAAGCCAGCTGGTTCTGCCTTCTAGGATGAGGAAAAAAGGAGGAATTTCAGGGCAAAGATCAGGCTGAGACAGAACTGGTGGCTGTTGTATGCAAGTGTTAGATCAGTGTACACAACAGCAGCAATATCATGTGTGAGATACGCTATGCATTTTTAAATGCACATCCTGAATGTAAACACAGTCTTAGCAGGTATGAGCTCATTATTAACTTGTGCTGCCAGGAAAGCAAATACAGAAATGAGAACACTGACAGCGTTAAGGTTCCAGGAGAAGAAAGGTAAATAACACAAAGCAGTGTCATTTTTACATGACAAATTAACAAATCTGTAAACCAGCTAAGTAGCAGTAAGGTTAAGATGCTTCTTCCAGTCAAATTTCTTCTGCTTGACACCTAACTTCATTAGGTTATATATGTTGTTCAATTTGAACTGTCTGCTTGGATAGCCTTTTAAATGGCAATAGGTTGTTTAACCAAACTCTTAAAATTAAAATTCTGAACACTCTGATTTAAATATCTCTCCCAAGCAATTTTACTCAAGGTCTTCTCAACATCTTGTTTGTTAACAGAAAGTCTTTTTTCCCCATTTCTTACCAGAAGAGTCAACTTCAGTTTGTAACTCTAAACAGATTTTAAAAAGACAAGTGACTCTTTAAGCTTGATTTGGAAAATGAAACGAAGCAAAAAGAACCCAACATTAATAATGACAGTTTTGACCAGGAAATTATTATCAGTCAGTCTTGTGTTAACATCTACTGCCAGTTCTTCTAAATTTTGAATTTGCAGGTCAGCAGAACTCCTGGGTATGGATAGAGCATATTAACCTGTAGGATTACTGTTGCTAATATTTTAATGATCACTTTTGTTTTAAGGAGATTATTTTAGAACTCATTAAAGAATAGTTTTTAATTGCTCTGCAGCACAATCTTATTTAGCACTGGCTCTAAACCATTATAATTGGTATCCCATTTACTTCAGTGTAGCAGAATCATACTGTGATGCAATGAATTACCTTCTTCTGAAAGAACATAGTTCATCAAATGGATGATGACTCAAATGTGTATTTGCATCCGTTTGTTATGCTTGTGATATGCTTGAAACATCTTACAAATGATATTTACAATGTACTGTATTTATCTAGAAAATGAAAAAGTATTGTGAACCTGTGAAACAAGAAACAGAATTGGAAATTATGCTATCCTTAAGATCCATAGATGTGTTCCAATCAGGTTAATCCTGTGTTCAGCACAGAAGAAAGAACCACTCTCTTGCTGATGGGGAGAAAGTATCCAGTTGTGCTTATGAACCTGTTGTTTTTGTTCTGCTTGAGTAAATACAGATTAGTTTACTAGATCTCTGGCTGGAAAACAAGGATAAAAAAAGAAAAGGCACATGAGCTTTAAATTTGCCTACTTACAGGTCTTTATTGCTTGAGCTGTGGCATTTTTCTGTTCAGATAAGTATTCAGAAGGAGTTACTGCATAAACAGCATTAAGGTTTCAGTTAGCATCAAAGTGCCTCAGTCTGCATTCTTTGTCCTCTTTCTGCTTTTTCTGGTATAGGACTTCCCCTCTAGTACTTAGGCCCAGAATTATACATTGTCAGGACAGTCAAAGATCAAATGCAGCAGGCATTCATTGCAACCCTGAGAAAGATGGCAAACTGGACAGAGAATAATACAGGAGAAAAAGAGGGCATCCTTGACCGAGAAATCCAGTATCCCATGTTGAGAGAAGTAGTATAGGCACTTGAGCGCCTACTCCTTCCGTTCAGATATTTGAAGCATCAGTAGATGATACTGTCTTCAGGAAAAAGTACTCTACAATATGGTTTCTTAATAGGCGAGGGAGAATTTAAGTGTCACTATATCATACCAGCAGTCCCTCCTCATCTTCCCTCCCTGAAGCTACAGTGCTGCAAAAATCTAAAGAACCTTTTGTCTGAAAGAGACTTGCTTTCAATTTTTTTCAAATGTTTCCTGAGTCACAAAGTCTTCCAGTCTGTTCTTCACTCCAAAGAGTTCCCTAGTCAAGAGGATGACCAAAAAAAAAAAAAAGGTTTGATCTATTCAATGTGGTGTGTATTAAGGCACTGTGATTATCAAGCAGTGCTGCTATGAATCAGAGACTGTTTTGGTTAATAGATCCATGGAACTTCAGTCTCAAAGACAGCAGATTTTTCTAGTAGATCAGATTATGTTTCTTTATTAATACATTAGGGTCTCTTCTAAATGCATGAAACAGAATAGTCACTCTGGATGCTCCATTGTTGAGATTCTGCGTGTTTAATGCTTGGTGTTACACAAAGTGTAGGAAATATAATTATACATTTCATTAGCTGAACTGAAAACAGATCAAACGATGTTCAAATGGAGACTAGTATTTTTGAAAAAATTATTATGGGGAAGAGGATAAGTTATGTTGTACCAGTAAGTTGTAGCACGTAGGCTTTAAAATAGGATTTCACTGATGGTTAGTGTCTTAATATATAGTTTAGAAAATACAGATATGTGGTGCAGTATCCATATAGGGTGCTGTATTTCTTACAGGATGTAATGATTTGCTCTTGATCTTTGTTCAAGAGATATCTCATGGCATCAGGTTAAGAGCTAACAGCATTTTCTGGGAAAAACCATACATTAGCTTCATATTCTAGAGGCTTCTGTTTCAGCTAGTTGTAAGTATGCTAATGCGTGGAACAATTTAAATGACCTTAGGGTGTTGATAAGGCTATTCTTTGACAGCTCAAATAAATTAATCTCTGAAGGTAATCCATCTAGATGTCATGATCCGTTCTGAAAGAAGCTGACTTTGTTAGCACTGTAAGAACTTGAATAAACAGTGTACAAGCATTTAAGCATTAATTTTAAGGTGTTAATCTAAAGTCTTTTTGGTCAATGTATATTAAAAGTTTCAGCTTGAAAATCTTCTGTTCATGACACATTCTGCTTTAACCACTCTTTCTATGATCTACTGATACATTATTTTGTTAATGCTGAATGCTTAACTTTTTTCTTTCTTTTTCCTTTCTCTTCATATCCTGAAGTTCCAACTAACCTTTCAATGCTTTTTTTCCTTACCTCTTTTATTTGCTCCATTTATGCATTAAGTGGTTGCTTAGATTTAAGGTAAGAAACCCCAGGGCTGGATTTCCATTCTTATTCTTCTGAGACTATTACACACGGGGAGATGATTAACATGAATGTTACTGATTTTTTAAAAGAACACGCCCTGCCCCTCCTGTGTATCAGACCTTCTGTTGAGTGATTTTATTGCAGATAAACATTTTGTGATATAAATTGATGTATTAGTGTAAGGAAGCTAACACAGTTAATTTTAAAAGCCTTGTGGCAAAATATTGACTGCCTTCAGTGTATCTACCAGATCATTTACAAGGGAGGAATATTGTGGTAACCTTGTATAGACAAAAAGATACAGTGAATACATAGCAGCTGAATATGAGCCTCCCCCTGTGTAATATTCTTTTTATCCTATATACGGTGTAAGTTATTATTTGATTTGGGTTAATGTTTCAGTGTGAGATTGCTCAGATAATGGGCTCCAAAGGTGTGTAGCAAACTCAAATCTGTATATTATTTTTTAAAGTTGCAGTATCCTTGAGTTTTTCAGAAACTGCTAGCACTATTTAAATACTGAGAAGCACTCACATATGGAAATTGTCACAAATTTGATAGCTGTGTAAAAAATTTAATAACCCTTACCAAGCTAAGTGATTTATTTAATTGAATGTTAAACGAAGAGTGCATCAAATAACTCAGACTGAAGTATGCCAGAGTCTCAAGGATCTTAGAGGCTTAAATGTTAGTAGCCATAGTGGCTGCAGAAGTAGCAACAGAAAAGCATCAGATCAACCAGACAAGCTGTTAAATGATGCTACATGGTACTACGTTGGAGTTCATAGCACATTAATTAATAGATAGATTGTAGCCTGTATTGTGATATCATCATCCTCCTGAAGTGCAACTGGTTGAGGGAAGGAGGGAACAAAAGATTTTTAGTAGCAGCCACCACAGTTTTAAAGAGGCAACTGTATTTTAGAACATAAAATACTAATGCGTAGTATGAATGTATTAATTAAATGAAATTCCAAGTTGATGTGAAATATTTTTCATAGATATCTTCCAGGACAGGAAAAAGCTAAAAGAAAATCTTGCACATTCCGGAAAAGATTGCCTGTAAAACCAGATATTAGTGTAGATACCTCAATGATGTCCCTATGGAATTGGCCAGATGGTACTTTTAGTAAGGTATTTAAGCGCATGTAGCACATCTGATCACAGTGGAAAATGTTTAATAAATGAGAGATTTCTCACATGTCATTTGGAATTTATTTTTATGTAAGTGTGTGAGGTACAGTATTTCAAGTCACATAGTGTTTAAATGCTTTTTATTTTTATTTAAAAATAGCAAAATATATCTACTCCCTGGCTCTTTCTGTCTGTCCACACAAAATGGATACTTCTAACACTAAATATGCCTTTTTCTGGGCACAGTTCATATTGGATGATGGTTTTCTTACTGATCTTAAAAAAAACAATTTGCAAACTCAGTTTTCTTTGCTGCTGTCTGCAGTTGCAGTTATAAACAAGTAATGACCATCCTAAAAAAAATATAATATTGTATAATTATAGTTTATGTGTGAACTGCCATGTCTGTGCATCATCTGTAGTGGTGATAAGAGTCTCTTCAGCTTTTCAGAGGAAATATTTTTTTTTTCTATTTATAGGGTTGGATTGAAAATAACATTTTTTTGTTATAACACAAGTTAAAATATTTATTTTTACTAGAGTGAACCTGATCAGAAATTTGATTTGGGAAATCACAATATGTCAATCAACTTCTCATTGCCAAAGCATGAGGTTTTAAAAACAAGGAAAAAAGGCAAAAAGCAGCACAGCACCTCTCAGTGGACATGTTATTCTTTAAGTCTCACTATAGTCACTGTGCACCATACTGAAAGGAGAGAGCTAAAAGGTGACTAATAGCCCTAGTTCTGTGTGAATAATAATTTTACTTCACTTATGAGAGATACAATATGAAATGTTTAGCCTGCATTTATTTTTCATGACTGCAAGGAAACCTTAGTCTTAGCCAACAGTTACAATATTAAACTGACTGACTGGAGCAGGGCTAGCTGTGCTTGTGTCTGGGTAGCTTAAATTTAATACAGATTTTGAAGAAAATGCCAATTACAAGTCAGAGGAGTATCTGTAGCATCTTTTGTCAGCAAAACAATTGAAAATTATGTTAAGCCTTTTTGTATTTACCAGACCCAGTTCTTCGGTTACTTTACGTAGGTGGATGTGGTAAAAACGTGTAAACTCACTTGCTGAAGCTTCTTCTCATGGTCATTTGCCAAGACATGGTTGAAATTTAGACATTTCACTTCCATATCAACTGATAAACATATTGTTTAATTAGAGATGCAGAGTAGTATTTGAGTAGCTGAGCACAGCCTGAAAAGGAATTTACTTTGAGGTAGCAGATGATGGGCCAAAAATTTGTTCATCCTCTCTGTAGTGTTAACAAGATTAAGCAAGGTGTGGAAAGGTAGTTTTCATTCAGTGTTAGGTTGTTTTGCTGGAGTCAGGTATAAAAATTGCTCGAGAAGGTCGGGTAGCTGCTTGAAGTTTCTGAATATAATCCGTGGAACATCACTGATGGGGCACTTTTTCTTACTGGATTTTGGACCGAAGATGATTCTTTTGACATCCTGAAAGTTCTAGAAAATCCAATGTGACCATAAAGCACCACTTAAAAATTTCTGGGCTGAGTCCAACTTTTGCTTTAGAAAGTAGCTCCTCCAGAGGTTTGGCTGTGTGGAATATCTGGTATTCAGGATTTTTTGAAAAAAAACATACTTTGTGTTGGTAATTGAACTGACAAGGGGATGTTCTTCAGAAGAGTGAAAATGTGGATTGAAATATTTGTTGCAGGTGAGTGACTCACAGCTGCGTGAATACAGAGTGCATTGGTGCAAATAGTTTTTGCGTGTCTGATGACCAGCTCTTATATCTGACCAGCTATGTATTTCTGCAATTCTTGATTGGTGAATATTTTTGTTCATGAAAACACTCCCAAGAATTGAATTGAATGAACTACAGGATTTCTCAGTTTTAACCAGTTCATTTCAATACAAATTCCTTACACATTGAAGTGCTGAAGAAGCTCAATCTGTTAAACGTTTATTAAATTTAGCTATGAAGGAAACTCAGCCATATGTAGGACCATGAGAAGGTGATTTAATCACTGGGATCTATGAAAAGCTAGTTGCTGAAAATAGAAATTGGACAAGTAAGTCTTAATTATTCAAAAAATAAACTTAAAATTATAATTTTTTAGGGGCTCTAGTCAGTCCTGTAGCATGTCTTCAATGAACATCAGATGTCACCTTTCTAAAATTGACACTGTAGCTCAATATAGAATATACTGGATGAAGTACTATTGTGCCCTTTTGAAAAGAATTGGCCCATAGTGGTCCATTTCTTTACAGTTCATTTTATGGCTCTGGGTCATAGCTGGATCTATGGAGCTGGATCTCGGAGCATCCTCTAGGCTGTGTTACTCAACAAGGATCTGCTTATTTTAAGTTGTTTATGCAGTTTCTTCCTCAGCAAAACTTCAAATTCCAACTGCAGTGCTGACAGAGTTACAGCTTTGGTAGAAGTAATTTTCTTCTGTAGTTCACGTGCTTGCTAGTTCACATATAAGAAGTTTCTGCAAGGTATCAGGTAAAAAAAAAAAAAAGTTTACCCAAGATCTCCTTAGAATTATTTGGTGTTCCTCCATGTAATTTAAGTTGGTAATATTTTCGACTTTTTTGCTTCTGTGGAGAAAGGCAAAAAAAGATTTGGAAAATCCCTGCATGCATTTTGTGTGGACCCTGTGCACTACTTGTCTGTTCACATGGGTTTCTTCCTGCATTTAGAACAGTCACCTGGGTTTTTTTCTGAGCTTTGTGCCCAAATCATTACTGCATGTCTTATTTTTTTCTTTTTTTAGCCCAGTGACTATCTGTTTTGGCAGTTGCGAGCAAAGGCAGAGATATATACTCTGTTGTGTTTCTGGTTTCAGGCTCTGTTTTGCCACACAGTTTCCTAAAAGAATTTGCAAGCTCTTAACTACAAACCAACCGCAGATCTGTGGGGTCCTGCAGCCTGCAGTCCAACTAACCGCCAACAGACAGATGCATTCCTCTGCTTTCACCCTCTAATTAAACCAGTTGTATCTGGATAGTTCCAGCTGTGTGGAGCTGGTGGAAATGTCATCAGAAACAGTGCAACTTCTGGCAAATTCCAATTTACTCCAGAAAATGTTTTTTTTAAACTTGACAGCAAATGCAATTGTGACCTTGAGTTCTAGTGGTTGAGTTGGATTTTAGAAGTTTGTAAGAGGGATGTGTGTGGAGGAGGATTTGTGTATGGAAACTATCTTTACAACCATATGTGCAAAATGGAAAAGGCAATAGAGTAAAGTTTTGCAAGAGTGGGCATTAATGGCTTTCTTTTTGTCTTTTTTTTTTTTTTTTTTTTCCTCCTAGTAGAAGTCATCATAGAAGGGGACGGTTGGAAATTTGTATAGTTTTAAATTTTCTTCCTTTTTTTTTTTTTCTTTTCTTTCCTCAAGTCTGTAACCTTTTTTAGTATTTTGCATGATACTATTTCCACAGATCTGTCAGTTTTGATCAGAACTGTTGGAATAATTTTAAATGATTCATTTATCTTCTGTGATTATTTGGCCGTAAGTCGAAGGGCAAGTTACTCAGATAGGGTTGTTTAATTTACAGTAGCTGATCTTAAAGCCATCAGTCCTGTCAGATCTGAAGACAGCCCTGTAAACATTAAGTACTTGTTCTTTTAACATTTTGATTTCAGTGTTGAAAAGTCATTTCAAAGAACCTGAAACTAAGCTTACTGTCAGTGCATTTTCCCATCTTTCAGTTCAGTCTTTCTTAAAGATGGCTTCTTTGTGACTAAAGTTTCTTGCCTAAAAAAGGATCACTTTTTCTTTGGCTATGTTTTCTAAAGCTTTAGTCCCATCCTATGTCAAGGATATGTTTATTCACAGTGTTAATGAAAGTAAATAGCAGTCACTTGAGTTCTGCATTAGGCAAGTATTATTTCCACTCCTGACTGTATACTGTGTGATGTCACTGCATCCTCCACCTCTACTGTGCCTTCTTTTCATGTAGCTCTAGCCCAGTGGAAGCCTAAAAATTCATTTTTGTTCCTGCAATGATTGTATATAAATAATAAGATTCTTTATGGTTAAATAAATGGAATTTTATATTAACTGAAAAGTGATAGCTAGTGGTTACATTGTCTGGTCAGAAACAATAGTGTAGGCAGTTAAAACACCTGAATGGACTATTCAGGAGCACACTGATTGGCGTAAGTTTGCTCTCCTTTAAGGATATCCACACCCCCTGCGCCACTAGGCTTAATGGGCTGTTTGAAATATAGCAAGTGACAGTGCAGTAAGTGTTTAATTATGGGGGAGGTCTTTTGTTTGCTTGTGGCTGTTTTGGACAACTCACATGTGAGTGAAACAAGTGTCTTTAATGAAAGAGGAAATACAGGGGATGCTGCAACTTTAAAAAAAAATCAGATTTTATGCTATTTCTGAATATTCCGTGTATAGAATAAAATATACTTAATTTTACACTTTCCCTCAAGTAGTTGTAGTTCAGTGCTTACCTCATCCCTCACTTGAAATAACTTTAGATTTCTTGTTGCTTAGAGTTGGCTTAAAGGACTTTATAATGCTGTGCAAAAGAATTTTGTCTTAAATTAACATTACAAAGTACTCTTGCACAACTAAATCCAAACATCTGGTTTTGAATCTGACAAAAACCCCCTTCCAACACTTGGTTTTCTTTTCCTCCCAGCAGATTGAAAATGTGATAGCACTGGGATTATATAGAGCCAGCGAATCAAGTTTCAGTGGATTAGAATACTGAATATTACTCTTTACACTGTTCTCAATGTTTATCGATTCACAAATCTAAACATTGCCAAAGTTGTAAGCAAGTTTTTATAGTCAAATTTTAAAGGAGTAATTTGTCTTTAATGTTTGCAAATGCTCTTAATGCCTTGATGACTGTGTCGTATTTATATGGGAGGTAGGGGCAGTAGGCAAAACTAAACATTTTGGAAATCAGAAACACTGAAATAGAGCATGACAGGAACAGCAGAAGAATGGATGTAAGAGTACTTATTTAGGTTTGTTGAATACCTCTGAGTTTAAGTAATAGTTTGAGCATTCATAAATCAAAGGTGTTGAACAGAGACTGATAAGAAGACCATGTACTGATTCCTGCAAGGGTGCATGCATTGAAAAAATTGTGCTTGGCTGGCAGTATACGGATAAGCAAAATGCCTACATTGGCAACAATTGTTTATGATTCTTAGATTGATCAATCAGTCAGGAATGCAGATGAGTTCTTTTTTAAAGAAGAATAAATTCTTTTAAATTAAAGTTACTTCATTAGTATTTTAACCTGAAAGAGGGGGAGGGACAACCGCAATTACATCACATGCTAAATATTTTTCTCCTCATCCATTTATTTATCAATTCTTAGGGATTTAATTGCTACAGATTTGGTGGCAGAAAAAATGTCGATCTTTGTATTTCTTTCTATATAGCTTTCTCTCTCTGTTTATATACACATAAATAATATTTGCAATAAATATTACCTTAAATTTTTTTTATATAATTCCATGAAAACATTAAAATATTAATGGATCATATTTGGAGATTACTTTGACTTCTCCATATCTGTATTAATTAAATTTAATTGTGGCCGACTAGATAAACCTTGATATTTTTAAAGCATATTCAAAAATATTTTTGCAAATTTACTATTCAGTAGTGCAACCTGAAATAACTGCCTTTATCTCAAAAGATGACTGACTGGGAGGTTTAACCAAGTTAGATACAATGTCTGTATCTGATTTAATGTTTATGTGATAGCCTAAAGGCAAATTCACTTTTTGTGTATATAATTTGAAAAAACCCTATATAATAGAGTCCTTTGAGCACAACTCTTGACTTCTAGCAGAGTGGAAATTGCATATAAAATGCATGGCCTCTCAATTTTCTCGTTTGTTTAAACCTTCCCCTACTTAGAGTTAATTGCTGAAGGCATCTCAGTGTTTTTCCCCCTAGAAGCTGAGCTTAGTGAAGGCTGTTTTTCTCCCCGTTCTTTCATGCAGGTCAGCACACAGAATATGAAGATGGGTGGTCTGCCTCGTACAACACCACCCACCCAGAAACCACCAAGTCCACCGATGTCTGGAAAAGGAACTATTGGGTAAGTGCAGCTGCCAAATGTGTAAATGTCTTTGGTGAGCAGAAAGGAAAAAAGGGGAGAATCTTTATTTTTCTGTAGTGTGGGTATTTTTGGGTTTTTTTTTTTGTTTTGGTTTTAGCTATTCACAAAGGTCAAGAGATGTTATATCCACAGCATCTTATACCGATCGTGTCTTGTATGTCAGTTAGCACAATTCTGCCAGAAGACAACGGGCATCATCAGCCTTTCCCAACAGGAACCTTTTTTATCATTGCAGAACACTTTTATCATGCATTATAAGTACATGCTTTAGAGTAAAAAGTCATTAACTGTGTGGCTTTGACAGGTGGTGCTACGCAACTGGAAAATTAGTATGAGGCACTGTTCATTAATTATTTGTGCTGTGTGTAATAAAAGTACTTTCCTGTTAAGTCTCTGAGTTTGACTTTGACTTTAGGAAAATTTGTTATAAATGGGATGAATGCTGTTTGTTAGTACATGGTTATGTATATACATACACAGACCGATGCTTTATTTTAAAACAAGATATGGATTACTTTTAAAACAAGAGTGGGATGTGCAACACAGTTTTTTAATAGGAAGATTGAAGTACATGAAGAACATCCTTAATTGGTTTTGCTCATCCTACGAAGTAGATATGGCAAACTTATAGGAAAAACATTTTTTAGCTCCCATTACTGATGAGTATGTACCTGTCTCTGAAAGAATGAAGAATCTTTGGTTTTGTCTGTATTACCGTTATTTGCTTCTGAAATATGCTTCTCTCTGTGTAGGCGTCACTCTCCCTACCGTACGTTGGAGCCAGTACGGCCTCCGGTGGTACCCAATGACTATGTGCCTAGCCCAACACGCAATATGGCTCCCTCACAACAGAGCCCTGTTAGAACAGCTTCTGTGAATCAGAGGAATCGCACATACAGGTATTCAGGGTATTCCTGTACAAAGTGTGCCTAGTACTGTATAAGAATAAGGACAAAAAATGCTACAATAAATAGCAAATCCATCTGCACCTCTACAGTGAAGCTTGCTAATTCATGATATGGACTGGGAACGTCATTTGGCATGGCAAGAATGTACTTTAATAAAACCAGAATAGTGAATCATGTTAAGATTGTTCACTTAATCCCTTAGTCACCTTAATTTTAGTGCTATCACTTAGTTTACAGTATGTAATGAATTAGTAAAGTTGTGAAGTCTTTCAAGTAGATAGATTGTGATGTTATTTTATGAAAAACTGGGAAAAAGACTTTCTATACAACATGCCTTCTACGTGTTGAAGGACTACATAGTATGCTTATCGTTCACATTTTTGTTTGAACGGTCTTTGATGTTTATAGATTGAATAGCTGAAAAAGAGCTTTAAATTTTGAGGATACTGATAACTTCAAACACAGAATAAAGCCGAACTGTATTACCAAAGGTTCTGCGGAAGGGTAGCCTTTTCTCTAGGATAATAAGAGTTTCATGATGTGACAAGTCTAAATACTTCCCTTGAAATCTTCACTTTTCAAACATCGTAAGTACTTGATGGCTAAACAGGTGAACTTTAAAATATAAGAAACTATGACTTTTACTATCTCACAAATTCCAGATTTCGGTAGTTTTCTATGAAAGCATATAAATCGGAGTCTAAATGGTCTACGTGTTTTATAAGATGTAGGAAAAAGGTCTGTACTTACTCAGCAGGGGTTTAACAATATTGGAATGATGTGCTTTGCAATAAGGTTCTGGAAGTGTTTCATTTTTGGGCAAGTTCACGAAGACTAAGTGAAAAGCTTCTTGTGTTGTAGTAAAAGTAAAGAGTTTTAGGAAAACTAAGCTTTATATCATCCTTGTTTCTTTTCTCTTGTTCCCCATTACTCCTCTGAGCGAGTTAGGTGTTATATGAGGGATCTTGTGTTTCAGCATGCACAGCAGCATAATTCATACCTTGGGTTGTTGCTGTCTCTTACAGCAGCAGCGGGAGTAGTGGAGGAAGCCACCCGAGCAGTCGGAGCAGCAGCCGCGAGAACAGTGGAAGTGGAAGCGTGGGTGTTCCTATTGCTGTTCCCACGCCATCTCCTCCCAGTGTCTATCCAGGTAAATGGAAACTTGCTGTTGTTCTTCCTTCTGACTCAGCATTAACCTGTAGCATTTACAGGTGTCCTAAACTCCAAGAGAAGTTTCAAAGTTCATTATCCAGAAACGTGCAAGCCTTGAAAATTGCTTGCTATTGATAGTATGAGTTTGAATCAAGTAGGGTCTTTTCTGGGAGTGTCTCATGCTCTAATGCTTCTTTTTATATATTAATTTGTTTATCAGAATTCTTTGGCTGGCTGCCTGCGTGTGATTAGGTAGGACACAACACCTTTTTCAGTGGGCTGGGGGAAACTTCTCCCTTGTCCTTTCAAGGAAGTAAATGTTTTTTTCATTGACTGTTCATGCAGATACATAGAAGCATGTTTGTAGAAGATTAGATGAAATGAGAAGCAGGCACAGAGTAAATCTTTAGTACATTAATGCAAGCCTGAGTTGTCACAAAATGACACTTGTTCACTGTAATTGCTCCAGTCTTTCCAGAAGTAGGAAATTATACTAGTACTTCTTTTTCCTTTACTCAGCCGTTTCAGTGAAGAGTATATAGTTGGCTTGCAGTGTGACCTGAAATACATGATGCTTCTGAACCAAAGAACTGGAAATTTTTGGCTTTTCTCTGTATTTTCCAATTCGTACAAAAGCTGAAGGCAGCTGTGCTACAGATTGAAGCGTGAAGAACAAGGTGTAAAGACATCTTTCAAAAGTAATGGGTTTCAGTGAAAAGTTCTGGGTTGTTCCCTTGAGACCTGGAAAGTAGTGGATTTGCTTGACCCTCATTTACCATCTACATAGGAATGAGCCTTTCTGTAACAGCTCCACTTTTCTCTCATCTCCTTGTGCATTCTAAAATACTTGGCATCTAATAAATAGCTAACACTGAAGAGTCAAAGGCTTTCTCTAATCCTTGCTAACATATCTCCTGATTAACTCCACCTCTTCCTCCTCTCTTCACTTAGCCCCTGCTGGCTCCGCTGGCACTTCTCCCCTTCCTGCTACCTCTGCCTCTGCCCCCCCTCCTGCTCCTGCCCCTTCCTCCACTGCCCCAGATGCTGCTGCTGCTGCTGCAGGAGCTCAGCCCCTTGCTGATGGCTTCACTTCTCCAACTCCCCCAGCTGTTTCTTCCACACCCTCCACAGGTGAGTGTCTGCTCCAGTGGGTGGGGGCAGATGAACCCAGATGTGATCACGAGCCAAGGCTTTTCAGAGTTACTTCAGAAGCAGTGACTTCTCTTTTTTTATTTTTTTTTTTTAAATTTGTCTAGAAAGTATCTGCTAATATCCATCTGTAAGGTAGTGGTTATAGTAGACAATTCAAGGTGAGCTAATTTTATAAACAATCATTTAATTTTATAATTTTATTATTTTTACATTAATATAGCTATTTATTGCATTAACATTTTATTGAGTTTTGGATACTGAGCGTCTATAGAGTAATTATGTTTGGGGGTACCAGCACTGATAGTTCTGGGTTTGATTATTCTCTTTCTGTAATGGAATAAAAAAAAGTGCATCTAGCAAAATGTAATTCATATGACTTGTCTATTCAGTGTTTTCAAATGACAAGTCTCCTTTCAGTGAGCTGATAAAAAGGGCAATTTCTTTGTGCTCAATGTCAGGTAAAGTACAAGTTTTTATTATGCATGATATTACTAAACTATTTTGTTTCAGTAGGTAGTACTTATGGTATATATTGCAACTTGCTTTTTTTTAATGCTTATGAAACCACCCAACATTTTTCATATGTGCTGAAGTTGCAGCGTATAGTACTTACTAACCATAACATTGTTCTGTATCAGCTTTTGATGATCAGTTACACCTGCATTGTAAAGATCTTTACAAAGCCAAATTCATATATATCTACCTACATACTTTGTTACTTCGCATTATGATCATGATCACAGTGGTGTGAACTGGTTTGTGTGTTTGCATTGGTCTCTCTTAGTAAGAATTTCACCAGGTACCAGAAGCATTCTTGAAATCCTATTTGGTTTAAGGTGCTGTGGCTCATATAAAATTAGAACATACTTATGCTAGAATCCATGATTCTGACTAGAAACTTCCAAGCTGTGATGAATTTTGGTATCAGAAGATGATCCTGATGCCTAAACTACTTTAAAGTTTAGAAGATGAGCTGTGTCTCATGGTTCCTCAATCCATTGTCAATTTTTGATGCACTGCCAGTATCCCCGTTCTTTAGCCATATTGCTCCTGTATTTTTGACAAGTCAAAATCAAGTAGAGATTAGTATTTTAGTGGCTATAAATTCACATTCACAATTCCGTAAGAGAAATACCAGGTTGGTTACTATTTTAAAGATCTTTTGTTTCCCCGTGCTATTAGTGAAGTTGCTTGCGTGACTTCTCTGAAATGAAGTATTTGAAGAGACTGGATAGTTTACTGTTTCTGAGGTTGTAGTTTTTGGTCCTTAAGGAGCTCTTGTCCCTGTTTCTTCCCTTCTCTCCAGTCACCACCAATTTCTACCAGTGCATTAAGTAATGGGGAGACAGATTGGAAAGACGCATTAGGAAAAATGTAAAAGTTTATATACTAGGTGGATTGCTTCTTAACTGTTCTTCTTCCTCGTCTGTAAAAAGTGCATTTTTTGAGGTGTACCTATCTGAACAAAGCAGGAGGAATGTGAACCTAGTTCATGTGTTTGCTCTTGGAAGCAAGTAACAGAGAAAGCAACTTGCATTTTAATTGCTGACCTCTTGTGAAGTTTTGCAAAGCAATCAAAACAGTGGAGAATAGTGCAGGTTTTCAAAAAATCTCACATTCATTTGTTCTGTTTCCCTGTTTACTTCCCTGCGTGTGTGTCTCCTCAACCACAGTGGCCATCCCTTCTTCCCTTGTTTTCTTGCAAACTGTGAAATTTACCTCTAGCACAAATAGTGGAGGCAGAATAAGTAGGGAAGGTAATAACTCATGTGGGTGTAATAAGTCCAGTTTGCTGTTATATACAGCATATAAGTCAGAGAACTTTACGTGAGCACAGAAGATAGCTTAATGGTCTTGATTCATTCATTGTTTGCTTAGAGTCAGGATCACTTTGAAACAGAAAGTGATTGAAATGGAGAACAAGTTTTTAAGGAGTTGTTTCAACTGACAGTTCCCTGAAAAGAAGGTCTTATAGTATGGTTACATTTATTCCACCCTTCAGGCAGTTTCTAACATTCTCTTCTCCCCAGATGATTCTCTGCATATTTCCTGAACAGCACTAAGATAGTTAGTATTGTGTTTTTCAGTTGTAGAAGGTAACAGCTTTGAGTCTTGGAAGTGGCATACAGTTAGTTTGTACATGTATGTTGCTTAATTGCTGGACTGTGAAGCGTTGGTTTTTTTGCAGGTTTATAAATAACTAAATTTGTAAGAATTTTTGATAGTACATTATATAAAATGGATGAATGGGAATTATTCTCTTTCATTTTGAAGCTTTGTAGCTCAGACACCTTTGTATTTTCATAATGGCTTTTGTGAACAATGTTGAGTACTTGCAGTTGGGAGAGAGTTGTTTTTTCTGTTGCTATTTAGACATCCAGTGTCCTGCCAGTCTGGCAGCTGAATCGGCTGACTGCGCCTAGGATGCAGACTGTCTTGAGAAAACCAAAAACCTTTTCAAGCCTTTGAATCTTGAATGCAGATGTAAAAAAGGGAGGAGGCATCATTCTTCTCTTCATTAATACATTTCTCTTTCTACCCTAGGTCACCCAGTTCAGTTCTACAGCATGAACAGGCCTGCATCTCGACACACACCCCCAACAATAGGGGGATCTTTGCCATATCGGCGTCCTCCTTCGATCACATCACAGACAAGCCTTCAGAACCAGATGAATGGAGGACCGTTTTATAACCAGAACCCAGGTAGAAAAGTTTTTCTGCTCTATTGAATTCAACACAGTGGTGAATGCAGTGGCCTTCAGATCTCTGAAATCTTATGTTCTGTCTCCATTGCAGATCTTACAGTTAGTCTCAGGTAACTTTCAGTACGTTGCTGGTAGCCATGCCAAGGCTGCAGTCCGGGTACAGACTGTTCAGCTTCCATTATGGCAAAATAAAACAATACTGGCTTTGATGCGAAAGAAATTACTTTTGATCTCACAGTCCCTGTGAGACAAGCTTTAGTCCTTTACTACACCATGTGTCATGTATCTGCTTTGGTGTGGGATGAGTATTTGATTTTGCACCAGAACACTGAATCTTCATTAATCAGTCTGTATCTTATGCCTTTTCCTTCTGATTAATGGACAGTTCAAGAAATCGCACTTGTTATACAAGGGTAAGCATTAGACACCTTAGAGACATCAGTGCTGTTTGGCATGGGATGCAAGGAAGCTGTGTATCACCTGCTAAATTCACAGTTGATGTTATTTTAATGGATGACCTGTCTTAAAAACCAGGATGAGATACTAACAAGGAGTGGCGTGTCCCATGTGCCAGGCAGAATGCAGTAGCTTTTTATCTAAGGGGTCTTTTTCCCTATACTTCTGATGCAACATGAAGGTTTTGATCTCAGAATGAGGCACTCTTTTTTTTTTTTTTTTTTTTTTTTTTTTTTTTTTTTTTTTTTTTTTTTGACAAAGGGTACAGAAAAATACAGGGGACATACTGAGGGTTCCTTGTTAGGAAATGCCCTATTACCAACAAGGTTGAATGTTGGCTTGTAAGCATTTCAGTGTGTTTGTGTTTTGTGGTTGTTGGCGGTTGGTTGGTTTGTTTTTAAGTTGAGCAGTGAACTTGGAATTAGGTCAAAAGCTGCAATTTGCATTTAAGGGATTTGATCAGGTTCAAATATTACTGCTTGTGAAGTACCCTGCAAAGAGATGTGTGTGCTTAACTTGAGAAGGAAATTATGGTCCTGCTGGGGATGGGGGGTAGAGAAGGTTATATGACTAAATTGCAGCCCAGTTGCCTGAAATATGTCATACTTGTTAAGCACATTATGTGCATATTGAAGGCTGAAGAAGAATAAGGCAAGAATTAAATTATAATAGCAGTAAAAGAAACATTTCAGGATTACCTTTGCAATAAAGAGGATTTTCAGTATATCCAGGGGTTTCTGGCTACTGCTGTGCATTTCTGCTTTGGCAAAGGGATCATTCTCTGCAAGCTACCATTGCATTGTTAATAGGTAATCACAGAAGATGCCAAATAGACCTTAAATAAGTTACATAACCGCAGTTCAGTCTGTATACCCAAAAAGAAGATAATGATTATGGTGATTAGTCACTTGAGCTGTAAATCACAAACAAAAATTGTGCTGGCATATTTGATACAACATAAATAAGCAGTTGTAGCAAAATACTTCTTAAAATATACCTAGCAGAATACAGAATTTATTAGCTTTGCAGTTATACTAAACCAAGGTTTCTTGGCCTGTACCTTGAAAGGAGAGGATGCTCAAGCATGCATAATTGATGGAAGACCTGAAGAACAGAGGGACTGTTGTGTCTGTAAGGAGCAGGGTTAGTAGTGACAGGACAAGGGGCCACAATTGCTTCTCAGCATTGCTGAAGGGAGGGAGAAAATGAAAACTCAAGAGGTGAAAAAGAGACCTTGCAACAGGCAGAGGAGTGTGCCAGCTATGGCTTGTTCTTTGCAGGCCGTTTGGCAATAAAGCAGTACTGTTTTTTCCACTTCCATTTTTTAGTATGTTGGCATAGTCATTTTTGTTTATTCACTTCACAGGAGGATGAAAGATACTTTGCTTGCTCTGTTCTTTTGAATGCCACTTCTAAGATAATGTAATTTCTCTACCTCATGGCACAAGACCTTTTTAACAACTGAAAAGAAAATATTAAGAAATGAAGACCCTAAATGATCTCAGCATATGTCTGTCCCAAAGTCACTCTTGCCAGCCATGCCAACTAACAAGTGTTTTAATTTTTCAACCTTGGATACCAGTATCTAAGCAGTATAGAACTTAACACAAGCTAAAAAACCCTGTGGGAGGAACTGGGCAAGTACTGAGATGGTGGTCTGCGCTACACACTATCTGTATAGCTGAATCCTTAACTGGCTGAAGCAATCTAGTGGAAGGTGCTTTTGAGTGTTTCTGAATTAATTTACACCAAATGTGTAGATGAAATCTTAATCTGCTAACGGTCTGTATAGAAGGAAGTGGGGCGGGAATGTTTAAGCTGGTGTTTATCTCATCTTTTGAGACAGCAGAGGTACAGTAAAGTATTTCTGATGCACTTCATAAACAAAGTCATTATTAACAAAATATTTAGTGTATTGGCTCCTAAAGGTCAAAACTAGCTTAGAGTCATTATATATCATATAGAGACAATCTAATATGATAGTCCCTGCACTGTGCATAAACTGAAGCACAAACCAAATGGTTAAGATAAACAACAAATTATGTCAGCTAGTGTTAGCATCACCATCTTGGTTAAACCACACAACCCAATCAAAACTAAGGGATTTTTTGGTATTTGCTTGAGTGCTTGTCTAGAGTGATTTATTTTTCTATGTGGGAAGCCTCATTATTTCTTTCAAAGAAGTATATGTAGCACAGAAACAAAGTACACTGAAGGGACCTAGGAAACTGAAGCTAGGCTCATATGATAGATATGAATTGTATCAATCCGTATGACATTGAACAGGGGAAAGATTTTGAAACAGAACGTTTTTATAGCATATATAATTTAAAAAACAGGGACTCCACAGTTGTATGGGAATGCTGAATTGATTATATTACTGCATTTCTGTAGGACTTCAATTTCCCCTTTCCTGCTTTGAAAAAATGCAAGACCAAATCTTTCTCCAGCTACTGTGGTTACACTTTAAGGAATAAATACTCTCAGAGGTCATGTCATTCAAGTCGAAGAAGCTGTAATTAGAAATGTATTTCAGTTTTTCTCAAGAAGTGTCAATTAAATGGTGAGATAATGGAGCTTGCTTTATATGGAGGTACAAAGATATTTTTTCAACAAAAAGGATGGTTTCTGTCTTGGTATTTTTGTTGTGTGACTGAAAGGAATGTGAGTGTGAGTGACAGAAGTTAAATGTACTTCAGATAATAGTTACTGAAACAAACAATCAGAAGAAATCTTGAGACATGAATTTTAAATGCCTTGGAGTTCTTTTCATTTACTATGATGATGTGAATTAATTCTGAAAAATACTACATCATACCTGGCAGTTTTCTTACTGACTCTGGAATTAGTCTGAAATTTATTTAGTTCTGTTCTGCAAGCTAAATAAATGTACTGGTACATTAAGTGTAGACCTTTTTCCCTTGTTGTTTTGGACATGACTAAATGTTTTTGTACTAAAAAGAAAATTATTTAGTTGTCTGTTTCCTGAGGTGTGCTTTCTGAAAAATAATCTTGTATTTTGCTTAAATAATATTACTGCATTACTCTTGCAAAGGGATACTAAAACTGGATAAAACTAGGTTTGTTGTTTTTTTAACTTAGAGATAATTTAAACTTTCATTCCTGGCTTAAACCACAGTTCAGTGTTATAACATTTGCAGTTGGCTGAAAGTATCTTCTTTAAATGTGAATTCACATGTATTGTACAAAGACATCTTGTCTGGTACCAGTAAAAGGGCTGTTCAGAGTTCAGTGCAGTGGTCGGTGAAATCAGGTGGGAAGGTAACAAGGCAGCACATCTGGAATAGGCCCTGTTGCTTGGCTGCAGCACAGCACGCTTTGTTCTACCAGTAAGGTCAGAAGTCCCATGTCTTCAAAGTACGTTCAGTTCTCAAAGGCATCTTTTTCTGTTTTGCCTAAAATAATTGCCTTATTTTACGGTTTGTTTGGCCTATGTTTTGGAGAAAAACTAGTTATATCCATTTTCATTACAAAGGAGTCACATCTATAAATACCGATTTGATCTGAAAGGCAGAGGATTATAGGGAGAGAATCCTCCTGATACATTTCTTAGTTAGGTCTGTTCATAAAGTGCTATATTGCTGTAGAGATAAACTTCAACTTAAGGGAATCTCATAGTCAGATCAGAAAAATACTTCAGCATGGATTCTTAACCTTATGAAAAAGAGCTGGGTTGGAAATTTTAAAAATAGATTTCCTTGAAGTAAGGATTAGGAATATGCTTAAGCCACTTGATCCATTTTTCTCTGAATGTCAGTCAGTCAGCCTTTTTATCTCAGCTTCTTGGCAGGCTGCTACACTGAGTGGTGGTGATGTCTACTTTCCTGTTTGCTTCTTTGTTGTGTTTCTAACCGAATACCTTTCTCTTTTTAATTTCTGTGGCAGCATCCCTTGCTCCTCCTCCCCCCTCCATCCTACAGGTAACTCCACAGTTACCACTAATGGGATTTGTGGCCAGAGTTCAAGAAAACAGTAAGTTTGCTGCTTTCTTGTGCTATGATTTATTACTAGATGTGTCTTTTGTTTTGAGTGGATGAAATATTTGACTGCGTACAGCCAGAATTGTGCCTTCTCTATTGCCTCTGCAAGTTCCTCTGAAATTATGAAGGCAAGGAAATAATTTTACTGGAGGAACCTGATCCTTCCTTCTCTGAATTCTGTTGAGTCTAGTGTATTTCCACAAGTTCTAACTATTTGTCCCAATGCAACTAATTGAGATAGGGATTATTACTTCTACCACCTACCACGGTTCTACAGACATTTTCATGGTTACACTATTGCTTATTTTCAGTTTCAGATACTCCTCCTCCGCCACCGCCTGTGGATGAGCCAGTGTTTGATGAATCTCCACCTCCACCCCCACCTCCAGAGGATTATGAGGAGGAGGAAGCAGCTGTGGTAGAGTACAGTGATCCATATGCCGAGGAGGACCCTCCTTGGGCACCAAGGACCTACTTAGAAAAGGGTAGGTTTAGATCTAGAAGAGATGGTAGGGTTGTGTTTGTAACAACATTTTGTATAAGCTCCTGCTATCCTGCTTTGGACCTGGAGTCTGCTTAGACTCCTTCGTAGCCAGTATTTGCTATTGTGGTAGAGGTGCTCCTCCAAATGGCAATGTAAAGAACGGAAGTTAAGCTACTCTTCTGAGACTGACTCTTGTACCCGTTTCCCCACAAGGAGGAGATAATGAATAGCTGGCTAATTACATATTTTTTTAAATCCTCTTTAATCTACTTAAGACTCACCTTTCAGTCTGCTTAACCGTAATAATCAAACTCATGTGAGGTCAAAAATGAGTGAATCAGTACTGCAATTGCACTTGAACTTTGAACATACGGGTGCATTTGGAGAACTGTTGCAGTGTGTGTCTGGGGCTCCATACCAAGCTAAAAAGTGCTGGGTCTGCGTTGGACCAGCTGAGGCATCGCTGTGTGGCTGCATCTAGATGTCTTCCGGTTCTGAAGCAGGTGTGTGGAAACATTCTGGAGTAAAACAACAGGTAAAATAAACCAAGTAGATAATTGGCTTAGGGGTGCTTGAATATGAAAAAATCTATTGCCTGGTGTTCTCCTGTGGAACAGGGTCATGTACCTCTTAGTAAAGGATGATATAAAATCTAATGTTGCAAAGCAACCAGGCATCTCAGCTGAGTGACTGTTAGACACATTCAATCTGCATTGGGGGGAAAAAAATTCAAGCATGCTAGTGCAGGACTTAAGGGGAGGAAAAAACTGAAGAAGATGGAAGAAGCACTTTCTGCCAACTCCAGCCCAAAGAAAATACTACTATTCCCAAGGGATATGGAAGAACACGTGGGAGTCTTTTTGTTATTCCCGCGCCCTCTGTCTAGCTGGTGTGTTTAAGGCAAGGAGTACCCAGGCTTTGCTGACAAGCTGAGACCATTTGTCAGACAGAGTGGCAGACTTGCAGGGTGTTTACATGACTTGCTTTATCTATTGGCCTCTCCTCATCCCTGACTGACAGCAAGTGTCACTATTTATTCTGTTGATGCGCACGAGCTCTTTGAGTAAAAGTCGCCTCGGGTTATACTTGTCAGGGAAGCTTATTTCCATGAGGAAGGACCTAGAAAAAAAGGATCTCCTATACCAAGTACTCTTCTTGCTGTGCACTTCGGAGGGTATGCCTGATTATTGGTATTAGTTACCTGATTTCACAATACGAGGTTTTGGAGTCAGGTGGGGTTCCTGATGTTGCATTTGGGTTTTTTTGGGAGAGGCTTGCAAATTTCTTCAGGTTGGGACCAGTACAGGTAACTTCAGCAAATACTGGATGGGCAACCTTACTTAACGAACTCTTCTTTATCAGGCAGTTCTGAGAGTGCACAGTATCTGCCCAGTTTCATTGCAGTTGAAGTATTTTGTGCTGGATGAAGATTGCAGGCATGTTGCTTTTTGATAGGAGAGTGAGTCTCAAGATTTTTCTCTGTATTTTTCCAGGTATAAGACACTCTCTAGCCTAATTCTACATTCATACAACTATCTTTGTTATGCTTCTGTTACTCATCCCACCTGGCCCTCAGCAAATCCTCAGTGACATTTCAGCTAGGAGCAAAAGAGAAAAAAGAGGACCCTTTTGTGCATTGCCTGCTTATAGTGTCTCATACTAATGCAAAGTGAGGGGCTGAAGAGAAGCCATGAAATCGTGGCACATGGCCTGGGGAAACAACTTTCTATTTGAAGAAATGATGACATTTGAATTATAGCGTATTGTTCTGATCTGCTTTTCTGTGTGACTTCTGTGAGCTTGTGAGCTAAAATCATTTGCATAGGTGCATATATGCACAGATCTGTTAATTTCAGCAGGCAGTCCAGGCACTTACAGTTTGATATTTACGGGGAAAATTACATGGGATAGCAAAACTGTAATGGAAGTCTTTAAAGATAAGCTGAACCAAGTCAGGCTTTTAGTCAGAACATTTTTCCTGCAGAAAAGCAAAAGTATAGGAAACCAAACATTATCTCGTATTGATGTAGTGTCCTGTGCAAAAACATAATCTTGAGCTGTATTTTGAAAGCTAGATGACTAAAACATCCAAAAGGTTGGTCTGTTCTTAGAAACACTCATAAAAGTAATAAAAAAATTAAAGTGCTTACAGTGTATGTTGGACTGTTAAATAGTACGTTTAGGATAGCAGAAAATAGGAGATGTTGACATAAGTGTGGATTCTGTTGTAGTTATATGATTAGCTCTACTTGCATTCAGCCCATGTCTTGAGATTTGACTGCTTTGCTGGAGTTGGGAGAGAAGTGCTTAACTGTGGGTTTTTGGTTTTTTTTTTTTTGTAGCAAACAAGTGATAAAATTAATGAAAAGTCCCACGTTAAAAGACTTTCATACTCAAAGAATGTGTATACTTACCCTGCTGTGAACTAATAACGCTTTGTCTTTGCAGAATAATTATTCCTATGGCAACTCCTTAAGTTCCTATAAGTAGTATTCTGTGCCACATGATTCAAAGCCGACAAAACTGAAGGAAGGAAACGGCAGTTCAAACACTATTATCCCCAATAAGCAGAGTAGCAATTCCTAGGATTTGTGCTTATTCTTCTGGTATGACTGGTCACTTATTTAAGTTCATATGAAAGCATTTCTAATAGGATTAGTGTAGATAACCTTTGTAAAAGTGAGAATGTAGAAGCTGGGACACCAGGGAGGTGTCAAATACAGAGGGCTGTCAGATATTGAGATGAAATTTGGTATGATCCTGGTCTGTAAAGGGATCATGCAGTGTGGGAGGTATGTTTAAGATTAAGACATGCTCTAACCTGCAGTTGAGGAAGGAAGCGGATAGCACATCCGTTTTGAACAGATGGAGAAATTCTTAAGTGCAATACAGTTCCTGGGGATGTTAAACTTGAGGACGCTACCGTGTGGCTGTAATAGCAACAGCCAACCTGCAGTGTCCAGGAAAGCAAGCTGCAGGTTTTCATTGAGCTCTGTCTGGGTGCGTGGCATGAAAAGGTAAGAAAATGTCCCAACTTTGCAAATCAGGTGACCAGAAATTGAGTATCCAGAAGGAAAAATTGCTGTCATACCACAAAGAGAAAGTCACAGCTATCACATTTCAGTTGGATAACCAGTCTGGCCTGTGCTTGTGGTCAGTTTGATGTAACGGAGTTCAGCCAAACTCTGTGATTATTGAAGAACCCAGGATCACTGACTGGAAGAATATCAACCTCAGTGAGTAATTCTGGTTTTCATATCTGCATTGAAATGTGTTCAGATAGAAACTAAAAAAAGGTTCTGGCTGAGTCTCGCAGGGAAGGATGCCACCTCCTGAGTCAGTATTGCTGCTCCCTGTCTCATCCGGAGCGGTTGTTTTGCAAACGTTTTTTTGCGCTGGGCTCCTGATAACTTGTGGTATGTGACAGGCTCACAGCTTGAACTGGTGGGATTACAGACAGAAGGATTAAACTGTCTTTTAGAGAGAGGAACGTTGCCAGTACAAAAGTAGCATGCAGGAGAAAGCAATGGTGATGTAGCAACAAAGCCAGGCTTCAGGTAATTTTATAAGAGGCTTAACAAGAAGCCTCTTGTATGGATTCCTTTGCTCCCTCAAAAGGGAATAACCTCATTTCTTTTGAAAAGAGTCATGAGTTTAGTTGGACGCTGTGCTCATGAACACATGCTGTTAATTTTTATTCCTTGCTTTGGTTTACAGTACCTTCCCTTCTATCACCGGTAGAAGATTTTAGGATCCCTGTCCAATGTCCATTTTATTTCAGTGGCCGCACTGCACGTTTCATTGCCAAGTGCTCAAAGCAGTGACTGATGCTATTTGTTCAAGTATTGAGAGTCTGGCTTAGCTAGTTTTCTGTATGGAACACATAATGATAGGACTGGGAATAGGAAAACATACCAAGTTGACGTCTACTATTTTCTGCCATTTCAGGACAGTGGTCTCTTTAATATTTGCCAGTGCTTTGTCCAATGTATTTGACTTTCCTAACAGCTTTTGTGCCTTTAGTAAAATGTTCTGCAGCTGTAAGAAAAATGTTCTGATGCAGTAGGCATATGTTTAGTCTCAGAAATCTACCTTACTACTTCCTAGCTCCTGACTGGGATTCACCCACCTTGGCACTGTATACCCTGGGAGTGACTTTGAGCTACTGAGACTGCACATACGCATTTTACAGATTTAAATGTGGAGGTAGCTAAGGTAGCTAAAAGTCTGGGACATTCGCCTTGGCTCATTCTTACTGTGATCTGAAGAGAGCTCTTACTACTCTCTGTCTTCCGTGTTTTCCTGCTGATTGTTAGTTGTGCAGAGATCTGGTTTAGCACATACCTGTAATACATTAATCTTGGAGTAGGTCTGAGTCATCATAGCCATGGGGAGTTACATCCACCCCCTTGAATCATTCTACGCCAAAAGTTTATCATATATTTCTAAAGTTTTCATCTGGTGGTTCTGGAAATAGTAAGAATATAAGAGTTAAAGTAGTCCTGGCTCATGTGCTTCAAAGCACGAGCCCTTATAAAAGGGGTTGGAAGAAACTGCTCCTCTCAGCAGGTCATTCTGCACACACAGAGGGGAGGCCGTGCAGTTCTGAGATTGCCTTGAACGTGGAGAACTTTGTAGAGATAGGTTGATTTCCATCCTCTTCCCTGTACCTCTCCTAACAGTCATGCTCTGTTCTTTTCTAGTGGTGGCGATCTATGACTACACGAAGGACAAAGAAGATGAGCTCTCATTTCAGGAAGGTGCCATCATTTATGTCATCAAGAAAAATGATGACGGCTGGTATGAGGGAGTCATGAATGGAGTGACGGGGCTCTTCCCAGGGAACTATGTGGAGTCGATCATGCATTACTCGGAGTGAAGACTAGAGGACAGAACACTGCATCTCCTGCTGCAGGAGCTGTCAGGGCTTCCCAGATCTCCACCAGCCTCTGGGGCCCTATCCAGTATAACTGAATGAAGGATAATTGTAACAACCACTCTTTTTGGTTTTGTTTTGTTTTGGTTTTTTTTGGTTTGGGTTTTTTTCTCCCCTTTCCTCCCCTCTCATTATAAAACAATAGTTATTTGAATTGTTTGAACGAATGGCTCTTCCGGCTGCCAGCAGAGGCTATCCTGAGCCATCTGATGTTGAATTAAGCTGACCCATTCAGATACAACAAACTCATTGAGTAGCTGATACTTCACTCAAATTCTGACTTCTTCTGACAGGCTTTGAGATCTGTCTCAGGAATCCTGTGTGCCCTCGTGGCACTACCCTTGGCAGCAGTGCCTGGCGCTTGGCATGTCCTGGATGCTGGCGGTGAAGGGTTACGGGCCAGTGGACCACACTCCTGTGCAGCTGGAAGAACAGTCGTGTGCTAGCAAACACTGGGATTTCTGCACAGAGCCATTCCTGTAACTGACTTCCAAATAGTTGGATACATCTTTAGCATAAACACTTCTGCAGCTGCTCTGCACATGTAGGCTGACACAGGGGCACACAGAGCTGGCTTTCAGTCACTCACCTTTCAGTTTAGACAATTAAGATGGCTGCAGCCCAGAGGACCCCCACCCCATTTCCTCATCTTTTGAATGCCACAGATTTGTTTTGTGTTCTGCACTGATGTAAATGTGCTCCTCTCTGCAGGGAGCTACTTGCCATGGGTGCTGCCGGTTTAAACAGAACTCACAGATGCCGTTGATGGTGAAGGTGAAACAAAGTTTACAGGTCCTCCTGGGGTCAGAGGATAAACTCTAGGGGCTGTGATCTAAGGTTCAGATCTACTCACGCCTGCTTGCACTAGAGAAACTTACCCCCAACTTTAGTCTTATGCACAATATAATCTTAAAAATCCAATCAGGTATTGTAAATTGGCTATTTTGTACTTGATGACTAGATTTGCATATGTACTGTGAGAGCCCTGTGCAGAGGCAGGACAAACGGCAGTTGTCGTCTTCATGTCTGTTGCCAAAATCTCTTCAGTGGAAGTAAAAAGGGCTGTTGTGTGTACTGGTTTCCCATGGAAATCCAAGCAGTAACTAGTAGTAGTCCTAGCTCTTCCCCCAGCCCTCTCCATTGTTTATTATAAAGAAATAGGTATTTTGAGCTATACCGGTGGATCTGGGGTGGAGTAATACCAAGTGAAGGCTCTGTAGCCCCTTGTCTTGATAGTTTGCTTTTTAACCTAGTCTCGGTTAAAGCTGCTGCTCAGTGATTCTGCCTAGCAGATTGGTGTAAACTGATGGCTGCACTAGTCTGCCCTTAGGAAGGACTAAATGTAATCTCTGGGTGAATGTCATGCATTAACAGAGTGAACTGATGAAACCTCCTGTTGCAGCCCTGTTAGCCTGCAAGTTGAGCTGACCCCTGTTACTGTGAGAGTCTCCTGGGCCAGGGCATCTTCCCGGACAGCTGTGGCCTGTCGCCTGGCCAGGTTCCAGCTGGTACCACCAGTCGCTTGTCCGAGGCGAGGCAGTGCTGCGGCTGCCTTCTGAGGCCTGTGTGAGAAACCGAACAGTGCCCGATAGGGCGCTGTCGGCGCTGGGTTTCTGACGGTATTGGCAACAATACAGGTAATTGACCCAAACCCCTTGCTTGGCAGTTAGCGCGATAGCAGGATGGAGGTGGGGGTTTGGTGCAAACCTGGGCAGGGAGGAGCCGTAGCTGCTCGCGGGACAGGAAGGAGGAAAGGAAGAGGTGAGGTGTGTTTGAGGCATGTGGATGAATGTGATCACCTGCTGTGAGCTTGCGCAAGAGTGAGTTAACTCCCGTGACGGTGCATAAGGAACTAGTCTGGTTGAAGCCTACGGGAGGTACAACTTTGAAGAAACTTGTGCGAAGACAGAAGTTACTTTCTCCCCTGCTCAAGCCACAGGTGTGTGGCCAAGACACTGTTGTCTTCTGTCTGGAAGCTGACAGCATTATTGTTTGGGATGAGTGTTAGCCAGAACAGATCCCCTTCTACCTTCTTCTCTTAGAACGTTTCTCTGGGAGCAAGCCTAGAAGCACTGGTGGTGCAGGCACCGGAGTGACTGTTTCTGGTCTCACAGGGCAGGGCTACAGCTTTGGCATGGGGAGGTGGTGCTGATGGCCTGGGTGACTGAATAGCAGGATTGCACCGGCCTTTGCTGCTCACAGGGTGGTTCTTTTCCAGGAATATCAGAGCTTTCCCGGTTTCTCTTGGCCAGGGTACGTTTGTGGTAAAGACTGAGCACATGGTGCTCAAATAGATCAAGTTATGGCAGCTTGGTGAGGTACTAAATGACAGCTGAACCTCTCTCCCTGGGGACTCCAGCTGGGCGGTCATGCGTTAGTGAAATGTGGCTTTAACTCAGTCTGTGTGAGAGCCTGTGCCTGACCGCTGACAGGTGGATGGGAAGGGGGTGTTCTTCTGCGGTGTGGTACACACCCCTGTCCTCCTTCATTCAGCTGGTTGTTCATCTTGCAAGTTTTCTGCATTGTGGGAGCAGAGCAGTGTGAACTCGGGGAAGTGCTGAACGCTTGCCAGAGCTCAGCACAGAGGATGAGGCTGCAAAACCTTGAAAGTGGAATGTGTGAAGGTCCTTAAAGAACTGGCTTTGGTCTGATGGGCCAGGGGTTGGTTTGGTCCCTGCTAGTAGCATGTGGAATTGTTTATCCTGCAAGAGCTGCTGGGGATGGAATTTTTGGGTCACCTCCTGCTGGTTTTATGCTTTATTATGCAGTACTAATGTAAAGAAGTTTTTTGAGTTTTATGCATATTTTTTATTTTGTACAGATTTTAATTCTGTGGCTTGTTTGGGGATAATGTGATGTAATGGTCATAGACCAGGCCAAGGTAAACAGGCTTTGTACATTAATGCTACATAGATTGCATGCTAGTAAAGTCAGTGAGGGTTGTGTTTCCAGTTTTGTCCCTTGTACTTCTCCAAAACCTTTTCTCCCCCTGCCTCTCTTTGTTTACTTTAAAAGGAGGGGGAGAAGGAGGGGAGAGAAACACCTCAGTATTTCAAATACATGCACAAAATCTCTTCAGAGTTCTGCTGCCACAGCTGAAGGTGCTCAGCATCACAGGCTGTTGAGTCGGCGGTGTGTGTGCGTGAGAGGTGGGGGAAGGAGATGCTCTGGAATAGCCCAAAGAGTGCTGGAAGGCCAAAGCGAGTGCGTTTCTCCCTTTGTGAGAGCTGCCTTAGCCCAGGCAGCTGTTTGCGTTGTGCACAGAAATGGGTCAGCATCCTCTAGCGGTGTATTTTGCCTTGATTTGCTGTATCGGAGATTTCTTCCTTGCTCTGGGCCCCAGGGACAAAGCTATTAACTACAGCTGCCTCTCCGCCGTGTGCCTGCATGAGAGGAGGTCTGACTGAGCCTGTCCCCATCTAGTGCTGCAGCAGGTTATGTTGGTGCCTTCTTTCCAGCCTGAGAGAGATGGCTGAGGTTGCATGCGTCTCACCTGTTCCCTCACCCCCCTCTTTATTTCCCCCCCCCCCCCCCCATCGTGGATTCATGTTCTTTGTTTCTCTCTCTGGCTGTTGCAGCAGAGGGCTGAGAGGGGCAGGAGAAGCAAGCAGCAAATGTGCTTGAACATCTTGATGGTGTGTGTGCCCATGCCCGCTGGCTGGAGCAGGCACCAGAGAGCTGAGGCACTGCCTGAGGACTTGCTGGCCGGACTGGTGAGGCACAGGCAGACACCAGTGCCCTGGAGGACTCTCACTGCAGGACAAGGTGTGGCGTGGCCCCAGGGGGGATGGCAGAGCTTGGTGTGTGTTAGCAGGAGGCTGACTGTGTCCCCGGGATTCAGCTCGTCCTTGCAGTCAATTGAGTTTGCGTGTTCCTGAAAGTGTCTGGAGGTTGTGGCTGGTTTGAGCCACAGCTCCCCCCAGTCCCTGTGGTCTGTGGGGGGGTGGCTTACCAGTGGGTGCCGGGAAGGCTTAGACCTGGCTAGTTCTTGCTTGAGCAGTTTGTTCTCCTTTCACAGCTCCTGGGCATTTGCTGTCTTTGCTGCTGAGGGTTCTTGGTGGCAGCCAAAGTTGACACTGGCAGTGATGGAGCTTCTGGAAAGTGGCACTTCTACCTAGGGTGTTTCAGTTGATCACAAGAAGAAAGCGAGGCAGCACCAGGATGGATGCTCCTGTTCTGGCAGAGGGGAGGCTGCCTGCCCCCTGTGTACGTGCGTATTGTGGACTAGAGGTGGAGGAGGGTTGTGCACTGATAGAAACCGTTGCGCTTCTGTGGCGTCTCCCGCCAGTGCTTGGTGGTGACTTAATGCTGTGCTCTTCCCAGCAGCTTCCACCCCTTCCCAGCTGCGGCTGTGCCTCTCTGCTGGAAGTGAGCTCTCCTTGTAGTAGTCATGTCCTTGGGCTTCAGGCATAAATCAAAAGCAAAACCTTCGTGTTTTCCTTTCTGGAAAGAACGGGACTTCATGTGGGTTAGTAAATTGGGAGCTTTTCCAGGGCTTGTCCTCCCAAAGGTGGGCCAGGACATGTCGTCTTGTGAGACAGGTGGTGTCTGTATTCTCCGCAGGACAACTTGTTGGAAGCTGCTAGAGGATGCTGCTGGAAAGCCCGTGGCGCTGCGGGTCCTACCGGGAGTGGTACTTGCATTGAGTAGTCACTGACTGAGCACTGCAGCGGTTCAGGAAGCATTGCAAACCCCAGGCAGAGACTTCACTTCCCGAATTGACAACAGTGGCAGTGAGAAATGTACAGCGCTGTTGCATTCACTAAGGCAAGTATTTGCAACCCGTATCTCTAGAGAAGAGGGTGTTGTAAAAACCGAGCACTAGCAGGTAGATGATGAGCTATAGCTTATGGGGTACCACTTTCACAAATTTACTGTGCTTACAGGCATACAGCCACCTTCCCCAGCTTTTGGCATCTCTCAGTATTAGGTACTGCCACATTTTGTGGAAGAAATGGTGTTACAGAGGTCAGAATAGTGCAAGAAGGGAACAGGGTGGGTTTGTGTTGGTTTTTGTTTTTTTTTTTTTTTTTTTTTTTTTGCTTCCCCCGGTAGCTGAAGTCAGTGTGTAGTAACAATCCTAGTGCTCTATTTTTTATTTTGGAACGGCAAGAATAATGGGACCCCCACCTCATGTCCATGGGAAGGTCGCCGAAAGCTTGATGGGGCCAAGGTTTACCAACTGCTGTTACAAAGAATAATTTACAGACAGTGGTGTTCTGCTGCTTTCATTCAAAGCAGCCCACTGCGATGTTTTGTGCCACCTCCTGCCCTTGCAGGAAGTGGTTTTTCTTTGGCAATCTAACCATTAATTTCACTAGCACCTTTGGTTATTACAAGAAATACTTCAAAACAGTAAAGTCAGCAGCAGCCTGTTGTCCAGAGGTAAGCCTGCCCCCAGCATCCTGCTGACCCCTGACGTGGTGACTGCTGAAATGTGTGCAGTACGTTTTTTCCTGTTTCTCTTAAAACCTCAGAAGAATCCTGCCGCTAGTGACTAACGAGGAAGAGCTGTGTACAAATTCATTTCCATTACAGCGCCTTGGTAAAGTGCTGACATGTCTGAGATTATTTTGTAAAGAACAAGTGCTGCTTTTCACATTTGGAAAAGTGTCTTTTGCAACTTGCATGGACAAGTAGTTTCTATGAATTCTCCAGAAAGGTCAGTGTCTAACATGGATTTTGTCCATGCACTTTTTTTCTGAAAGCAGAGCCCCCTCTGCCCCCAGCTTTGGTTCGCAGTCAGAGGAGCAGCACGCTGTGCTTTTGCTTTTGGCACTGCTGATGCAGTGGATGAGTGCAGAGCCCACTGTAAATGACCAAGCCTGCGGGACTCTGGGGAGCTGTATGCCACCAGTAACGTTTTATTGTGTGTGCCATTTGAACCACCTTCCAGTGAGTGCAAATCCCAATTTTTACATTTTTTTAATTGTACTTGGAATTAACTGTTGCTGTGTACTAAACCCTCTTGTTACAAGCCCTGAATAAAAAGAACAAAGCACACACCCCGTGTTCTGTGAGGGCGCCGCTGCCGCGTCACGTTCCTTGTCTTTGGCTACAGCCTTCTCAGCGCCGCGAGGCCGGGGCCAGGCGCTCGTGCCTGCGGGAGCCCCGTGCCAGGAGCTCCGAGCTCGGCCCTTCCCGCGGCAGCGGTGTGAGCGTCGGCATCCAGCCTCCTGCCTTCAGCAGCCCCGCTCCCCTCACCGCCACCCCCGTAACGCCCCCAGTCGCCGCTCTGAAAGCCGGTGGCTGATGCGGGGCCGGCCCGGGAGCACAGCAGGAGCGCAGCCCGGGAGGCGGCGGGCAGAGCTGAACCCCCTGCCCTGGGCCCGGGAGGGGCCGCAGCAACACTTACCGGCCGTGTGCTGGCATGGCGGGGGCAGAGCGGGGCAGGGCTCCGCACCCGCACCCCCGCCGGAGGAGGCAGGCGGAAGGTGAGCCTTCCCCCGGGGCCGCTTTAGAGCTGTAATTGGTGTGTACCGGGTCACTGGTACAGCCAGCTCTGAGCCACTGGAAAGAACTGTGCACAGGAACAATAAAAAGCGATCTTCTTGAGAGTGAGCATGTAAGTGGTAACCTGTAGGCCATCAGAGACCCGAGCCCCACCCAGGGGAACCACTGATGCCCTGAGAACCCCCTGGGGCCTCTGAACTCAGGAAAAAGGAGAATGGCAAGACAGAGGATTAAAACAGATTATTAAATTTAACTACATCTTTATTGAATTGTGCATATTCCATTGTATAATGAACTATATTGGGTACTCTATAACGTAGTATTTTCTTTTGTCCTCTCCCATGCTTAAAAAAGTATATTTATACATATATTTATATATATTTATAATATGGCAAAGCTCCCCCCGACCTGAAGCTATCAGTCTAAGAGCTTTGATTTTTCTTTTTGGAAAGGGAAGAAGAGGGGAGGCAATCCCATTGAAAGATAAAATGTGCAATTTTCTTTTTAAAGCAGTAAACATGAATGTATTTACAGCACTCACTCAGCACAAGTTTGCTGCACAGACAGATCATCATTGCAATGACACTTTTTTTTCCTCACATTTGCATCCCCAGTATTATACAGAGTATCACCAGTGGCTGCTAACAAGTAGTATAAGCCATAAAACAAACTGCTGCTCCAGTTATTTCCTGGTCCACTGCAGTCCACTAGAAGGAGACCTAAGATTTGCAATTACAACTTGTGACAAAGCATTTAGTTTTCCTTTCAAAAGTACAAGCTGTATATAGTGCTGCACCAAGCCCGCAGCAGGGAGCCTTGGGCACAGGTTCCTTTGCTGAGGTGCCCCTGGCAGCGTGTGCCCAGGCACCAGCCCTGGCTGAAGGCAAGAGCTGCACAGGGGCTGAGGGCACAGCACTTCAGCTCCTGGCAGCTCTGCCTGGGGCGAGCACAGCTGCGTACCTGGAATTTAGCTCTGAATGTGTCTTTGGCCTCTTGGGAAAGGTGGGAGGAAACGATTTTCCACCGTAAGGGAACAGTTGGTTCAATTCCTCAGCCTCCTAAAAGACGAGTCATCTTTAAGCACTGAAATAAGGGGCAGAGGTGTGGCCGGAATCTCTCGCTCACCTTCTCACTCCTTTCCCTCACTAAACCCCTGCTGTGGGGGACTGTGCCGATCGCACTAGTTCCTCCTCTGCTGCCAACTTCTCCAGCTCTCCTCACCAAAGATACACACTTCTGATGAACAGAGAGCTCACCTAGTCCTTGCCCTGTCGAGTGGCTCAGAGCACCAAATAACCATCAACCCAACATCGCTTTTTCCCATGTCAGTGGCAGTTAATTTACATTGTGAGGGATAAGTGTGTGTTGGCCCCTCACTGGCAGTTTAGTGTCTTAAACTTTTCAAACCTAGACAAAGCCTGTGACTCCTTGGCTCACAGTGAGTGCTGACCCCCTGCAACATTGCACTGGTTTGTCAGTCTTCAGGGGTGGGGTTTTTAATTGAAGGAAAAAAAGAATTCAGAAAGGATGATTACTCAGCTTTAGTCAAACTTATTTATAATTCCAAAATAAAAGCTTAAAACCCACCAGCACATTACAAAAAAGTCTGAGAGAAACTATCCCTTGTAGTGTTCAATCCGCTCTGATGTGGAGCCTGCCCTGATTGCACGAGGGAATGCAAAGCTAGACACCAGGAGCCACAAACAGGCTTTGAGAAAACATCTCTTCCCCTAAAGAAGTAAGACTCCCCTCACCTCCAAACGAGGAGCACTGTTTGAACAAGTACATAGTCTACACTTTAACAGCAAAAAAAGAAAAACCAACAACCCCAAACTTGCATGGTCTGGCTGTGTCCCCGCTACTTTGTCAGGAATTTACATTGCTTTCCTGGAGTGCAACTGATGTTAACGTGACTCTGAAGTAATAGGCATAGTAAGACCCACTTATTATTTTGAATAACAAACTGATTTACCTGCAGTCGTACCGCTGAAATCACTTAGTTTTATGCAGTTTTCTGTAATAAGCAGGAAAATTCTCTTTTGCCCTTCTGCTGTTGAAACGGCACTTAAAGGAACCAATTAACAGTGGAAAAAACAATTTTAACTCAGAGGAAAACTGGCCACACTGTATCTCTGAGCTGATCCGAGTTATCTGGTTGCCTGAGGGCTCAGAACAAAGAAATTAGAAAACCTTTAAATGTGCAAGTCCAGAACAGTAAATCTTAAAATGCACTTGTTGAAAAAACTGCTCCCTCTCCCATCAGACCTGAAACCTAAAGGATCCAGGTACCTTCACTTTGTTTCCCTGATGCGTCAGTCAGTCGCTGTTGCCCTGCAGGAAATCTGCAGAGTAAGTTCTGGAGAGGAGCTCTTTGGCTTTGAGGTCACGCACCAAGTCGGAGCAAGCGGTGGTGGTTTGCTGCAGGAGGAAACCACTGCACAGGGCGAAGCAGGAGCTTTTCTCTTCCACAGAAAATAACAGGGTTACTTTTTGGTGAGACTTATGCCTTAACCTCCTCCCCCAACCCCAGGTTTTAAAAGACTGAATGGAACACCCCCCGCCTATCCACCTCAAACAGTTGGTTTAGAACCTGTGGGGTTTGGGCTTTTAAAATAATTTCTCCTCTCAGATTAGTGCTGATGTAAGAGCCGAGTTCTCCATTCAAAAGCAACTCCCCGAGACCTGAACTACAATGAGGGTGTCGGAGCCCAGCTCCCTGCTTTCCACACGCCTGTGCTGCAGGCACAGAGAAACCTGGCAGAACGGGAGGGGCCCTGCTGCTGCTCAGAGGTGGGTGCTGCTGCTGCACGGCAGAGGGGAAACGAAGACCAAATCTGGCACAGATCAACAAATGCAGCTGTATGCTCTCAGCTGCCCCTGCAGCAGCAGGGCTTTTCCCAGCACCCACCTCAGCAAGTGTCAAAGGCCGTATGCTCCATCACATCATTAGGATTTTAGGATCTAAAGCATCTGCTATCTTTGTGTCCAGAGTATGAAAGCTCAACTCTCACATGCTCCTTTTAATAGTGCCAAAAGGATTACAGCCCATGTTTGTAGCAGGAAGTTTCTTGCTGTGTGTCTGAGATCTGGCTCCTTTGTTTTCCGATTTAAATAAATATATAATGGTGCAATTACGAGACCAGTGCACGCAGAGAAAAATAACTTACTTGCAAATAAGGCATCAATATTTACTGTCACAAAAACAGTAAATAACACTGGAAAAGCAAGTTACAATGAGGGGTCTCCTAAGCTGAAAAGGCAACCAGGTTGTCTGACCCACACTGTAGCCACATGTCAGTGCTCATGCTCAGCTAAAAGAAAGCAGGCTCCAGCCACTCCCTACATTTCTGTATCACTACCGACTTAGGAAGTAAGTTGTAACAAAAAGGGATACAGGGTGCCACCTTTGCCCACGCTCATTCTTTTTGCTGCAAACTTAAAACTCCTATCTCCCTGCAAGGAGATAGCAGCCTGCAGCAGTAAGCATGGAATCGTCGTCACCCAACTTGGGCACAGGACAGTGAGATCAAAGCTCAAATGCCTCTGAAGAAGCTGCGCTCAAGCCATTGCTCTGCCGAGTCCAAAGCCCAGAGGTGCCCGCACGGAACCAACGAGAGGAAGAGGGCTGGAACTGACACACACCAGCTGAGCCGTCTCGGGGGAAAAGAAAAACAGACTGGGCAAGCAGAATTCCCTGACAGCTCCCACCTGGGAGCACACACTGCACCAGCCCAGATGCACCTTGCCAGGGAAGAGGAGAACACACGCACTCACCGTCCTCGGAAACAGCCGGAGGCAGGGCGGCACCTGCGCCCCCTTGGCTCCACCGCAGGGGACGAGCCCCGGGAGCTGCAGACAGTACAAAGCAGCAGGAGGACCCACGTTGAGAATTACAGCACCCGTGAATTGCAGTCTAGCTTAACAACCTCCCTGAGAAGTTATTCGCCAGCTGCACTGAGCATGCCTAAAATCAACAATGCAAATGCTTTTAAGGACACTTTATAAGCACAAAAATAGTAGAAACAAAACTTTGTGAACAATTTGAAAGATACAAAAAAGTGCCTTTCCATAGCAGTGCTTTAAAAATGCACACAATGGTATATACTCTTATTGCTCAAAAAAACTAGTCTGAAATATTAAAACAATTTCCAGAGGTGCTGAAACATATTTAAAAAAAAAAAAAATCATGACACAGGTCAGCAGACAGCACCATTAATTTTTCTCTTTTCACGATGCACTTATTTAAAACTATATAGTTATAGATGTGTCATTTTTCCTCTCTAATTAGCAAAGCTTTTTTTCCTATTCATAAATTATTCACAAAGGCATTTATTTTATTATTTGGATTTTTTTAAAAACACTTTATAAAATAAAGAAAAAAAGCAATGGGGGACACTGTCACAATATTTCTTAAATCTATTAGCCTGAATTCTCTACTGAGGGATTAGTTTACATCTTTTTTACATGCTCGAAGATACTGTCAGGTCAAGCTACGTCCTTTGTTTCATTCGTTGGGGGAAGGAAAGCATTTAAAATTTACTTTTGGAGAAGAGGTAAACAGTAAAATCATTTGCCATCTGAGCCCTGACAGTATCCCCGTGTGACGAGGGAAGCTGTAACAACTGAAGATGGGGTAGGTCCAGCCCAAGTACTGTAGCTACTTTACAAAAGTCATGTACTGCTACCCTGCAACGAACTCGCAGGATAGATAAGACTCCACCACCTGACCACAACCTCCCAATACTTGGGTAAGCCCGTACAATCAAGCTACTGAAATACAAGAAAAAGGACTCTAGTACTTGATCTGGTGATCGACTGTCAATCAGTGACAAACGAGAAATCCAAAGCAAATATGATAATCTATTTCCTACTCATGTGGGCCCTTAAATTAAATTATTAGCAAATGTTATTGCCTCTCAAGGTTGGTTGTTTTGTTTTGTTTTGTTTTTTTTTTTTCCCCAGTCTTCTCCCTTCACTGCTAGAAGTGCAACTTTGTAATTGACGGGTTTATGCATTGATTGCAATCTCTGGCAGGTCAAAGGAGAGAGATAATTCCCACTTGGCCTGAAATTATCACTCCCTTCTCTCTAGAAGGGAAAGTTTCCTGACAGTTCCTAATTATTTACAGACAATACTTTCTTTAACTGCTTCCAGCCACTTCTTTTTGTAACACCACCACATCTTACCAGGCACAGACAAGGTGAGACGGTATGCTGTCCGTGCTTGTGTGAGACCATAACGCTCTCTACAGAAACCTACCTGTGCATTCAGAGAAAGAATTACACGTACAAGTGCTGTATCGGCATGGCTCAGCCCTGTGGGTCGGCGTCGACTGCAGGAGTCCTGGCAGCTTTCAGAAGGGGTTAACACAAATAACTTCATCTTGAGCCATAGAAACAAATGATTGAGCCTACTATAACGTTAGAGTGCATAATGGATTGGAATAATATATATTTATCCTACTTACTGCACGGGCAAATAACTCTAAAATAATTTGTAGCGGTGTATATTTTTAAACTATTTGGAAGGGAGGGGGAGGCTCTTTATAGTATAAATATATTTCACTCCAGCCCACTATATATAAAATGTATTTTCTTCCTCAGAACATACTCATTTTCAGTAGTATTATGACCAGAATGTTTTGGTATGTTGCATCTGTACTTTCCAATCAACGGACAACGTACAGTGACTAGCAGAACGCCTCAGCTCTGCACCACTTACCCACCGCAAACCGCCAAAAGGTTTGTGGGTTGTTTTGTTTTTCTTCCTTTGTTTAAAGTGCCCCCTCATCTTCATCTCTGGGGTAAGATTTGACTAGTCACAGAGTCCAATTCCAGGTAATATAGTGACTGAAACAATAAATACGGTTCTACAAAAACATTCTGGTTATCTTCTATAATTGCGACGAAATATATCACAATATATTATATACCTACACTTATAATACATGCACAAACATGTCTCACGTGGACAGACACTACAAAAAAATTATCTCCCCCCCTCCCCTAAATGCAGAAAAAGTAAGAAAATGGGGGTTTGGTCCAATCCATGTGAAAGGTAAAAGAAATTGAAAGGGTAAGTCAATGCCTCCCTACTCACCTTTGCCAATCAAACACCAACACCCCCAAGCCCCCAGCTTTTTTGGCCTAGCCATGAAAGGGGAATGTCTTTACGTTAAGCCTTAGCTACGGTTTGAGATCACCTCTTTTGGGTGGGGCTAGCATCCACATCCCCACATTCTCTCCAGGCGCTCAAGATCACCCAGGTTGGCCGATCACGGAGCGGCCCGCAAGTCACGGAGAGCACCGGCCCCTGGGGACTGACTACCAGTCCCGCGACAGCTTGGTGTTCTGATCCCTTTTGGGAGGTGCGGGGGGCGGCCCCCTCCGTAACGTTGCATAGCCAGATATATGACCGCCCCCAAAGCTGCTGGTCTTCTGCTGGTCGGCCAGCAGCTCCGGCGGAGGCGGAGGCAGGGCCATGTCGTCCATGGTGGCCGTGGGCTCTGCTCTGGACATGCGCGCAGAGGAGAGGGAGCCGTGCCGGGTGATGGATTTCCGCTGCAGCGTCCGGTTGAGGTCTGCCAGGAATCCCGGCTGAACGCTAAGGCTGGACTTGGGTGAAGTGGGCACTTGAGGGCCAGCTGACCCTGGTGGCTCTGCGACCTCTGCCTGCGTCAGTCGAGTGCTGTCGTTCCGCTTGGGACGGGTGGGTGGCGGGGCTTTTTTCACAGATGGTTTGGACCATGCCTGAGGCTGGGGATTGACGACGGCGACTTTTGGGGAGGTGCTGCCTGTAAACACGGACGGGATCTCGACTGGCGGGAGAGGAAGATCTATTTCGGGTGGTGGCGGCGGAAAGTCTGAATCAGATGGCGGGGAAGGGAATTCAACCACAGGTTCCTTCCCAGACGCGCCCAGAGCAGAAGCCTTGGCCGGGATCCCTCCTTGCGGAAGGACAATGGGCAGGCTCACCCCAGAAAGGTTGAGCTTTCCTGGCTTTGGAGGGGCTGCAGGAGGCGATGACTCCTTGGAAGGAGACCCTGAGGGCTCTGGTGGGTGTGCAAATTTGCTGACAAGGCGGTCCACTGAAGGTCTCTTGGACTCGTGGTACTCAGTGGAGCTGGTGGACTTGATGCTGGAGTTTCGCTGAGGTGTCGGAGGTGGTTTCTTCCCTCCAGGGCTTGATGTCTTGCTGGTCTTTTTGACTGGAGACCCTGATTTGTCAGGGGGGGGAGAACCTGCAGAGGAAGCTGGGGAAGGAGGTGGAGGAGGAAACACTAAGCTGCTCTCTGGCGGAGGAGGGGGGAAATCTGGTGAGGGAGCAGAAGCAGGCTGCCATTTGGGCTTTGCCTTCACTGCTGGAGGTGACTGCGGGGCCACGCTCAGTGGCAGGGGTTTCAGAGGCTGGGGCTCAGCGGCAGGTGGGGTGGGAGGAGGTGGGAACTGGCTAACTATCTGTTTCACCACCGATGGCACCGGGGACTGAGGGGATGGAGGGGGCTTCACAGAGAAGCTCTGCTGCTTTGGGAATGTTGGGGGGGGAGCGGGGCCAGGAGGGGCTGGGGGCAGCGGAGGCACCTGTGGAGAGGTGACACTTGGTTGTTTCTTTATTGGAAGGGGCAAGGGAGCTGGCACAGGGGGGGGCGACATGCGTGATCCCTGGCGATGCTGCCTTCCCACTAGGCTGTGGGGGGAGAGCTGCCATGAGGGGCTTCGGGGGTGCCTGGGGTGGGGGGGGGGCAGGCACAGGAGGAGGAGGTGGTGGCAAGGAGGAGGTGGCAGCGGCCTGGCTTATATTTGGTTGAACCTGATGGATTTTGGGGGGCGGTGGCGGCGGCGTGAACTGGGGCACAGAGGGGGCACAAGGTGCCGGCTTCAACTGTGCCATGGCAGAGCCTGGCGTGGGGGGAGGTGGGGGAGGCGGGGGGGGCGGCATGACCCCGTTGGGGGGCACCAGGATCTGAAGCTTTCCTGGGGGGGGGGTGGGCGGGGGGGCCTGCTGTGCAGCAGGAGCTTTGGAAAAGGGCCCACCTTGCTGGGCAGCGTTCTGCAACCTGGTGATGGTGCTGTACTTGACAAACATGGTGGCGGGGGAGCCCGCAGAGTGGGCGGCCTGGCTGGGAAGGGGGGGCGGGGGTGGGGGAGGGGGGGGGCGGGGGAGGCGGGGGAGGGGGGGGCGGCGGGGGCAGCGGTGGGGACGGCTGTGATGCTGCGTAGGGGGTCGCCACTTTTGTCTGCGGGGACACAGGAGCTGCGACAGACAAGAAGGGCCGACCCGCAGGCTCCATTCGGGCCTATTGGGGAGGGATTTTTAGTGAAAGTGGAAAGGGAGAAAAAGAAAAAGAGAGAGAGAGGGAGGGAGGGAGGGAGGGAGGGAGGGAAGAAGACAAAGAGATTATAAAGTCAAGGTCTAAATGTGCCTCATTAAAAATTCGGTGGCAGATTACAGCATGCAGGAAGTATTAGCAGAACACTGCAGCAAGAGACAGTTCCATACACTGGCAAGCCTGGACCATGCAGTCTGGTGGGGCAAGCGGGGAGCAGAGCTGGCAACAAGCAGTGGAGCCAGGTCTACTCCAGGCTAGGCCGAATGCCAGGGAGAAAATACACCAGGCCTTGACACTTCTGCGGGGCAGGCAGCTGTACCCAGTGAGAATCACTGGTCCTCCTCCGGGCAAGTATAATGACCCAAACAGAGCGCTCCCCAGAGTGCCACAGGCCATGACAGAGGACATCAGGCAGAGCAAGAGACACTGAGGACATCTCCTCAGCTCAGTAAGACTAGAGTTAAACCACACATGGCCTCTCAGAACATCTGTCAAGCCTTTATGTTGGTTAGCTCAAAGGCCTTACTCTGGTGGTACAAAATGCAGAAATCCTGAACTGCTCCAAAACAAGTGAAGAGCAATTTTTATGCAGGAATGCTCTGATATTCAAGACCAGCAAGGAAAAAAACATGAGGAAAAAAGAGGGAGAACTGAAGTTTCCTAGGAAAAGTTCCCCAGAAGGAAATATTTAGAGATCTGAAAAGAAAGTTCACTTGAGAAAAGCTTTACATGCAACTATTATGTTAAGCAGAAAAAGAAAGACAGGGAAAAGCTGACTAAGGGAAGGAGCAATGGGAAAGCAGCAGGCAATGTTTTAGTCTAGTCCTTGGGTTCTGTTTAAGTCAAATTGTTTCTTTAACATTGTAAACCTACATTCCTGTTAAAAATTAAACATGTAATTGCATCACTCAAGTTCATAAACATCCTCCTAATACAAAAGTGGTTTGGCTACAAGCCAAGTTATGAATTCCACAGTGCACAGCACAGAAACATGCATTAGAAATGCAACACCAACATGGCAACCGATCACACTGGGAACCTACACTTCATTAGTAGATACTTTGCCACAAATTAGCCCGGTTGTGCTCATTTGCACTGTATGAGCAGGTTTGCATATTGCTTTGTTCTAAACACAGGTGCACAGAGTTTCTACATATACAGAAGAACACCAGAAGGATTAGAGTCATGAACAACAAACAGTGATTCACAACACACATGGGGTGTGCCTCTATCTGTCACATCAGGTCTGGAAGGCAAGAGTGTAACAGCTCTGGAGCTAAATCAAGGTGTTCACAGAACAAACCAGGAGAGAAATTTTGATCTCTTGCAAGTGTTAGTCTGCAAATTACCATTCTCTCAATCACCAGGTTAATGAATTTTCAAGTAGCACCACCTGACCTTAACTCTGCCCTGTATAAGGCACCACGGGTGTGCTGACCTTAGCTGTGCTGAGCTTCACTTTTGACACCTGAGACAGCAAAAGGCAACGGGGGAAAAATAAAAGCCGCATAACATAGAGGGAGACCAAGGCATAACAGAACAGCTATCCCTGTATGGCAAGACCTTGGAGATTTCTGAATTGGCCACTTAAAGCACGCACAGCGAGCACACATTGTGATGCCCGTTTAGCATCCCGTTTGAAATAACATGTTCAAAATCTGACGAGCAAAATGAGACAAAGAGATCTTCACCACCCAACTGTGAATAATGTCAACAGATGAATAAAGTAGTCTTTGGGCCAACAGCAATCTTCCACAATATGAACTGAACAGATCACATGCATTTTGGGAAAGGTGATTTTTTTAAATCCCAGATCTGTTTGAAGCACAGAGGCATTTTCCTCATATCCATTGAAGACAGTAGTTTCCACGGTGAGAAAATTAAACACTCAGAACAGGGAAAAGAATATTGTCCATCTCAGGAGGGGAAGTCCCTCCTACCTCCACAGGATCAAATGAAATTTCCACAACCAGAAACACAGTCAGTGATATTTTGTTTATAGAAGAACCTTATGAGAGATCACTGTCCTTGTTTGTCTGTATAACTACGTGATGTCCTTCTGTGTATCTTGAAAAATTACTTACTGCATTCTATCAATTCATATTTGTAACATGACTATCTGGAACTCTCAGAAATGCTGTAAAGAACACTATTTTTTTAAATAACCACTATGCTTTTTTTAGGCTGTTTTTCCTAAGAAAATGAGCTTTTGCAACTGAACTGTTTGCCACCTCTCTTCCTAAGCCAGTTGCTTTTGGATTGGTTGGCAAATTTCAGTCAAATATGACAGACAGCTAGAAATCCCAGTATCTTTTCAACTTCAAGAAATTGTTGTGAAGTTACTGGCACCTGGTAAGCGAGGGGAAAAGCAGGCAGAACTCACCCATTTTACACTTGCTGAGCAGTTAGCCGCCGGCCAACCAGCACAACACCCTGTCTGGCTGGCCAGCCTCAACGTCATCTCCCTGCTGAGCCAAGGCATGCTCTGTTGTGCCCTGCTTGCTGAGGCGGATGACACAAAGGTGACAGGGAAGAGAGCTGTTGCAGAAGAGGAAGGGAAATGCTGGACAAGTCTCCGTTAATTCTGCCAGTTGCAGCAACCTGCTCACATGAACTTCTTAAGGCAGCTTTGTCACCAAAGCACGGTGGAAGAACTACCTCTGAACTATCTGAAGAGTAATCTGCCTAAACCAGTATCACTGCAACTACCTTTTCATTCAAATTACAATTTTTTTCAACAAGATTGTTTCCTTTTTTGCCACACAGTTTTAACATTTTCCACTGCCAGTCTGATTTATTAATTATTTAGGTTCCTCGGACCAGACCTGTACAGGATAAAAAAAGCATGTACCATAGTTTTGCTACAAGTAAATTTGTCATAAATTTACTCAATTATAATTTTACACAGTTCATTTAATTTGGATTCTTTGGAAATTTTAGAGCAATCCATTCATCTGTGTTACACATGAGGAAGAGAAATATACCTTTTCTTGCATTTGTGCATAGAAACAAATTCAAATTGATGATATCTTTAAACATGGATAACCCTCAACAGGGAGCAGTCTGAATGTTTTATTTTTAAAATGGCTTTAATTGGATAACAAAAATTCTGGGGGTTTATTTAAATGAGCAATTGCTAGCAGCACTATGGACTCAAGGACAACACTGACCCAATTGTGGTAAACTTGAAACTTTTCTCTAAAAGCTCATAGAGAACAGCAGCAAGATTTTCACATTAAAACCACAACTTTAGGAAACAACAACATTACAGTTCTGACAGCAGTACTCTTCCACCTCTGTTGGACACATGTTAGACAGATTCAGGTGCCCTTTTGCATCTGTCCTGCTCCTGCAGAAATGGTGCACCCTGTACACATACAAAAGCCATCTGCTGATGAACATGCACCAGCTGTTGCACTCATGCAGTAGAAAATTTGGATCACAATTTAGCAAGCTACATTCCTGGGCTGAGTACTACGTTACTATTAGAATCAGACAATTTCCAAGGCAGCAGGCACAGCAGAAAAGTCACGAATCCCAAAGGATGCAGCCATGTCAGTTTTCACATTGTGCCATGTGTGCTTTCTTATTTGAAAATGTGATGATGTGTCTTATTTTTAGTTATTTATCTGATGCATCAGTGCCAGGTGTAGTGACCCATGATTTAGTTTTAAAAAGCTTCCTCCTCTAGCTTGAACCTGGGGTCTGGGGAAGATTCAAAATTGACAGGAGTGAAGATAGATTCTCACAGCATCCTGCCAATGTACTTCCACACAACAGCTGCAGTTAATACGGACATCACGGCTGCCGAGGAACCTGAAAATTCCTTTGAGCCTAACAACAAAGCAGCTTAAGTGGCAATTCTGCTGTGTTTGGCAGTATTCCCCAAGAACTACTCCCAGTCAACTACCACAGAAAGAACAGAAAACTAACCAAACCACAACAGACCTGAGCCCTAGGCTTCAGTGGGTTAAAATCTCTTGTATGTCTCTACCAGCAACAGGAGATACCAAATTTGCTTCAATCCACAAGTGCTGTCAATTTTAGTACTTTTGCTTTTGATCACATATATGATTACTGTTTCCGTTTCCAATAATATAATAGAAAACATTAGAGTAAAAACTACTGGAGTACTTCTTAAATAGATATATTTGCCTTCCGGACTCAGTTACTCACATCCTTACAAGGGAAAGATGTGGCTAGATAACTGGGTAAAGATCTTGGTGAAAGAATTTCATTCAACTTGTTAACAGCTGATCTTTTTATTTTGTCTTTATTCAACATTAATAGGACTATGTGAAGGGCTGTATCATGCCTTCAAAGAACAGAGGGCTTCTGTGCACACAAGTAAAAGCAAGAACAGAAGGTCCCAGGGTTGAATTCCCTGAAAAAAAGTGATTTCTGCAAAGACAATTATATGGCAGTGTATGTCAATAACATCAAGTAAAAAAGAGAAGAAATCCCACTCAAGACAGAGGTGGAAGAGGTATCACTGTCTCATACATTCTGTTGGGCGTTGGTTCTCAAACTAAAGTCTTCTTGTTACCTTGCTGGATTCCTCCAGTTGAGTGCCTCGTTTCCAGGCCTCGGAGAACATGGAGCTGACAATGCTTTGGGAACGGACATGTCCAGCTGGCTGGGTGTCAGAAACTCCACTGTCAGACTGATTAGAATGATTTGATTGAGATTCTGTTTAGAAGAAAGTTAAAAAACAGTTAGCATATGTTTTGGAATGTAAGAGTAAAGTTAGTGAGCTTCTAATGCAAATCTGTGTGGCGTTTATTGGTCACACTTGTTAAATATGTCATCCCACCAGAGGACATCGTTCCAACTACCACATAAGCTCTAGCTCACGTCCAGGCCGTTGCTGTCTGGAAAACAAAACAGTGCAGCAGATCCCTGGTATTAACCAAATCTGAAGCTCCCCAAAGATGACAGCATGTCAGATATGATGCAAAGTAAAAACACACTACAGTTGTATAGGTTCTGAAACACCCAACAGCTCCTGGACTTTGGGAAAAGCCTCATTTCATGCAATGCATGCAGCCTGCTATCCCCAGCACTCTTCCCAGCCAACCTTAGAAACAGACACTGCACACAGGCTGAGGACAGGCAAACCACACTAGCTGAGGCAGTAGTCTGCTTCTGACTGCTCTGTTCCTCAGGGGAAGAAAAAGAACCATGTGCATCCTGCAACTAGCAAACACAGATGATTGTTCTGGGTCCACAGGCTATCTTCAAAAGACAGCAGCAGCCACTGCCAGACCAATTGATCCAGCCTGGCACCTGCCTTATCTGTAGTGCCAAACTGTCCTGGAGAAAAAGAGCATTGAGGCACAGGCTGGACTGCAGCTCTGGCAGAACATACATAGCTGGTGGGCTGTGGCTCAGCTCCCCACAAGAAGAGAAACTATCAGAAAAGCACCCAGCTTGGATGGAGAAATTGTCAGTAACCAAGAATTTACACTACACCTGGCAAGCTGTGCCACACGGCTGAAAAAAACATGGTGCCTTCCCAGTTAGGCAGAATTTTCTTCGCTCATTCTCACAGGTTACTTTCTGAACCTTTCCAATTCAGTAGCATTACTTCCTGACCTGTATCTGTGATGGACAGAACACTTTCACACAACAGCCTGTTACAAGAAAGAAACTTGCCCCCGAGGGTTCAGATTAACCTGGCAACGTGTCAGCTCTGAACAGTGACATGAGACTACATAAACCATTCATCAATTTTTAAACTGATATGTGCTACAAAGAAACAGTCCCAGTCCTGCTGAGAAGTAAATAGGAGCATATTACTGCAGGCACACACAGTTTGACACCGGAACAGAAAGAGTATTTTCAAAGGTTGTCTCTAAAGAGATTGTTTGGATCTTTGCCTTTGGGCAGGGACTATTTCTCATATTCCAATTTCAACCATTTCAGTCAACAAAAGCAGTTTAAGAGCTACACACACACACACACGTTCTATGCATCATTAAAACATACATTTGATTTCTTTTTTCAAATAGGTGAAGATAGAAGCATCGGGAATTTGAAAGGAACTTTCCTCTTCTCCGTATCACAAAAAACATTCTTTTGTGGAGGTTAACAAAAAAAATACTATATGTTCCAAATACATACACCACTGTAAGTAATATAATAAAATAGTGTGTATATAAATATGTTAAACATGAAGTCTATGCTTTAGACTAAACATAGCATAAAACACTTTGGAGAAACAGTCCATTTCCTGCAGTAGTCTCTCCTGAGGTCTCCAGATAGCAGATAAAAAAGGTAATTCATTCTTTCTATTATGAGATAGATCACATTATTACCTGGCAAACTAGACGAGCTGGAGCCTGACTTGATACTGGAGCTAGACAAGGAGGTCCAGTCATATGCCGACTCTGTTCTCTTCAATGCTTCCTGATAGTTCATGTATAGTTGCTTCCCATACTAAGCAAAATGACAAATAAATTTAACAACTGTATATAGGCTGTGTACCCTTTTGAGACTGTTGAGCTCCACCCCTGGCTTCTCTATTCCACCTTGTTTCCCCCCAAAGAGAAAAAACAGGCCCTTCATTAAGGAGCTCGGGCAACATTAATTTTTTATTAACAAATTGCTGAAAGAAAGAAAAACAGTTTATTTATGTTAGAAGAGATAGCATCAAGCAAGAAATCGGCTAATGAATAAACTAAACCAACCTCAGGATCTTAGAAAACAATTGCTTTCTCAATTCCCTTTTCCCATCAGCCTTCTTTTTTAAATTTCTAAGGGAGCTAGCTAAAACCTAGCCACAATGTCAGAACTTCATCATGTGACAGAGGCACAGCAGAAACAGGAAGAAAGGGCCCAATTACTGAATTATCATAGTAAAGCCTAACAATTTTGCTAGGGAATGAAATATGGAATAAGATTGTACAGTTCACATTCAGAATAGTTAAGCAGAGGGAAGTTAGATTTAACATGTATTTTGCTAAGTAACTGTAAATGGTTTCAAACAGATAAAGACAAACAACTCATGACAGCAGTGCAAGACTGCCTAGAGGAGGATACCTTAGCAATGCGGATGCCATTGATCCATTGGTGTAGAGTTCTTACATCATCACAGCAAAGGTATTTGATATACTGAGATTTCTTCTGGATCTGAGGATGCTGCAGAAAAATTGTTAATCCTCATCAATATTTTAATATCTAGGAATGCAAAGAACGCCATTTATCTGTTGAGGTCTATACAAACTTAATGCTGGAAGCTCTTCCACAGTAGTCTGCACTTGAGCCCACTTAAGAAAGTTTGAGTATTTCAGGAGGTGGCAGTGTGTCCAGCATGCACTGATTTCAGGTTTGAAACACTAAGATAGACTGAGTCTTTCAGTATTTTAGTGCTGAACCTTCTACCTACCAATTGTCTTCTGTACCTGTAAATCTTTGTAGTCTCAAGCCAAGTGGTCAGAAGAGCGTTAGCTTGTAAAAACCTTGCCTGAACACAAGCAAGAGACTGCCAAAGCATAAAGAGTTTCTCCTTTCACTGCTCTATGGACTAATTCACCACCCAAGGGAGACAACTGATATTTCACCTTTTTCTCACATCAAAACAATCTGGAGGAAAACACGCACGCTGGACTTCTCTGCTTTTGTATGGCTTGAGTGAGACACTCCACAAATGACAAGCTTTTAAGCACAATTCCATTTTCAGCTTGTACAGCCTTCAAGGTCCCCACCCTACTGATACAGGGCTAGCGTCTAACATACTTGCTGCTCCCACATACATGTATAAGAAAGAAAAGGTGCTGTATTTATCAATGAAGCAGTTTCAAAAATCAGACACTGAAAATCATTCTGGATGGATTATTCAGTTGTTTCCTGTTCATGCTGTAGAAGTCACATGTCTCACAGCTGTCAGGGCAAGTCTAAATACTCAAGTTCTTCTCATCTCCTCTGTTAATTTACAGTTCAGTGGCATAGAGTTTTGCTAATGATCATAGCTATTTAAGTTTTACTGAAGACTGTCTGAAACATGTATCAAAGAACTTTTAATCTCTTTTCAGAATATTTTCTCCTGTTGCCTTCCAAACATAATTATTATGAAATGAACATCAATGTGTTTATCTCCATAAATAGAATATCTATATAACTGAGTTCATTATGATATAATTGGTTTTGTTTTTCACTACCAGCTTCTTTCACATACATGTTGTATTACAAAGAAGAGTCTATAGAAGCACAATTACTTTGCTAAGAAGCCACCTTTTTTCTGGACTTGTTCAAAAATTTGGCTGTATAGAAATAAAAGAACCTCTCGGAAATTTAACATTTAGGATCAAGGAGCTAATATTATATGCTAGCATACAGATGTTATATTTAAAAATAGTGCAGCACATGTCTTGCACAGTAAGGTACAAGATAAACAAAGAAAGCAAACATGTAAAGACAAATCCATTCTGGACTTCAGTAAGAATTGGACTTTCAGTTTGTATTTGCCATTCACCTCTCAAAAAACATGTTCATGTTTTAGAGATAATTTCCAGCTCAGTGAATTTTTGTGGCAAAAAATGGAGTTTCTATTAAAAACCACACTGCATGGCTTCTATATGTTGGTACTAATATAAAACACCAGTGTAACATTTTAAGAATTGAGGAAGGCAGAACTCAATCCTGCTTAATATAGTAATTTGGTGATTCATCAGTTCCACACTGAAAACATAGCTTCACTTTGTCTAAGTTACCCGACTAATTCTACCCCATTAATTTAATTAAAGGGACAATTTAAACACATTAAAAATTGACTTTAACATTTTCATGTCTTCATTTATGCTCAGAACGGCAATACTTTCTAAAAAAATCTACTTAGATAAGACTTAGTCTGGTTTACTCTGTGTGGTCAACAAGTCTGAAAAAATAATTCACTATTAACCTATCCAAATGGTGTGGATAGAAAGTGACACATAAGCAGAAGAAAGTAATTTACTTCAAGGAACTTAAATACCTACAAACACTGACATTTCTGCTTTTAATTGATTTCAATTAACTGCGCCAATGATTTATAAGAACATGGAAAATATTTCCAGTTTCAGCTGTATCCTTTTCCCTTAAATAATGTCCCATATTTGATATTCAGTGTCTACCTCTCAATGAGGTTGCCCTGTCTATTGGAAGATGAAATCCTTTTTTCATACAGCAGACACGCAGCCACATACTCCAGGCACATAAAACATTCTAGTGTACTGACATATGCAACACCACATGAGCTACTGATCAAGGAGTGCAAGAGGTCAAAGGAAAACTATAAGTGAAACTATTACCATCTCTTGTTACTTGCACCATTTTCAAATCCGTGAAGACACTTCACTTACTGTGAACATACCGTGAAAACCTGATTTAAAATAGCTTTGTAGCTAGCTATCTTGCAGGAACTGACACCATTTTGAATACTGTGTGGGAGTCAAGAGAGACTGGGAGATGAGTTAATGCAATTTAAAATAACTTGAAGTATTCAAGTTATTAATGTCACAGTTTAAGATCAGGTCACTGTTTTCATAACATTTTTCTTTCTACCTGTCCTTTACACTCAGAAGTTTCTTCCTTTACAGCATCCCCTTTCCCTCAGGTTGGACAATATGGGTAACCTTGACTCTCTAACACCAATATCTGCACGGCTTTGGACCTACACTCTGAGAAGACAGCAACTCCCTGAAGTTAGCATTGCAAGGGGTATTATCTTACTGAACCTGAATTGTTGTAAGGCATAGAGTTGCCAGATGGAAAGAAAATAATTTAGTGTTATGTTTTAGAGTACAATGAACAATTAGACTGGGACTTATCAGTCTGGAAAGTAAGAATTCAGAGCAATACGAAAATATTTACAAAGTCATGAGAAGCAGAGAGAACAGGCAACCCCTGTTCACTAACTGTTCACTTCCTATACAAAAACTAGGGGAAAATGAAACAGAAAACAACTGATGGTTCAGGACAAGTAGAAGAGCGTGAAAGGTGTACCCAACTGCTGCAGCATTCTAGAAGTTTCTTGGAATTCCAAGAGAGATAGGGCATACTCAAGGAGTAAGAATGCACCTAGGGCTATTAAACAGCCAAGATCCACTTGCTGGTCCCTAAATTTTTAAAGGCTGAAAAGTATTCTGTGGAAGTATCTCTGCAAGACTGTCCCGTACTTCTAATTTTTCCCTAAGTAGCTTATAAACAAAGGCCACTGTCAGAGCAACTTAGAGTGCTAGATGAATATGAATCCAGTAAAGCCATTCTTCTGCTGCTCTGATCTTTTTTCCTCCTCTACCATGCAATCCACACAGAACTTCTGGCAGGTGGAGGAAATCTGTGAGCTTGATGGGAAAGTGATTCATAGCCATAGCCATTTCTTCCCTCTGCACTAGTCCCCACATGGCATTTTCTCTCCTTTTTTTTTTTTTTTTTTTTTTACTGTATTTCCATCAAGGAGGCTCATTACAACTGAACAGAAAATGTAGTTAAACACAGCTTTCTCATTGTCACTGTAACTTATGGCAATTTAGATTTCTCATGTGCAGAATGAAGATAATTTAGAGATTCGCTCTGAAAACTGACAGGTATAGTTTTCCAATTGGTACGTTACCAAAGGAAGTGTATTCTAAATTATAATCTCTCCCAAGAATCAGGTCTTGCTCACAATTAGGAAGTGTAGTTATTATAAGGGACTAAGATTAGTGTGGAAATGTTTCAAGCTCTTTAGTTGCTCTTTTCAATACGAGAATTTTCTAAACAATCAACAAGTTACCTTTAGCACTAAACAATAGTCTGTGGGAGCTTTATATTTGTTCCGATAGTCCTGTCCATAGTAAACACTGACATGATCTAGCTGTAGAAAGCACACAAGATCCCGTGAGACCTGTTAAATAAAAAAATAATAATTTACAAAATATCTTTATAAGGAAACCACTAACACTGACAAAATCAATCTAGAGTTAAGATCCAATATTAATATAAGGTCTAGTTAAGGTCACATATTAGTTTCAATCTGATTTGAAAACTACTAATACAAGAAGGAGAAGCAGCCATGCACAAACTCTTGCATCAGACATTCATTTTTAACTTTTTTCCAAATTCAGTCTTGTTTTTTGTGCTTTGTCTGCATTTTGCCTATTGACAATATTTTACACCAAACAACTGATGTTTATTCAGAGTTGGTATCAGGAGAAAGTAAATAGGACTGGTTGACAAGGAACTTCTTAACAGCTGTTGGTTACATTTCATCTTGGTAATAATCAAGGTGTCCCAATTCCCATGTGACTGAGTTAAATTCAAATTATGTTTGGCAGTGATTGTAGGGCACAGAATTTCAACAGGCTATCTTGCTTGTAGATTGTTCTAATGAAGCAAAAAGGCTGTGGAAAGAGCATCGGAGATGTATTCAGCTCTAAAGGGAGCTGATGCACTGACAGGGATTTCCTCTTCATTGCCAGCTGTATGGGAAGTGAATGTCCTGTCCTGGGGATCAGTTAATGCTGTCAAGACTGATGTATCCATGGACAACCTGAACACGCAGAATTTCAGCCTTGAAGCTATAATAAATTTACAGCAGCTTTCTACTTACTTTTCATTATTGATACACACAGAACAGCATCAAGTGACACTGAAGAAATAGTAGTATATTTACCAGTTTCAAAAAATGTAGCACGAATTTGTCCAAAAAGAATCCCATTTATATCAACTAAAACCAATGAAATTATGCAGATTGATTGTGGAGTTGGTCTGATATTCTGATTGGCATTTGCAGGGCAATTTGGTCCTTCTTCTGAATTTTGCTTGAGAAAGGACAGCCTCTTAACTCCACCAATCATTTTTCTCCAGTGTTTCTGAATACCTAACTCCAAGCTCACTCAAAAAGCAGACCCTGGTGGTCTTGCATTTTTAAATTTGGGGGTATACCCATCACATCAAGTGCTACCACAGTAATTTACAGAGTATTTCCATGATAAAGCTGCACTTTTCATTAAGGGATGTGGCACTAGGCAAGTCACAGCTAGGCCAAAATTTAAGGCAGACTCTTGTGCACCCGATTTACCATCAATAAACAATTCAGGGCAATTGCTTTAATATAGCATACCTTTGCCTTCCCTTTAGGGACATAGTAGATTCCAGAAGCTCGAAGAAGAAAGTAACGTTTCTTCCAAGACTTCTTACCATCCTCTTTCAGCCACAAAACTCCCTCAATCTCTGGCACGGTTACAGAACTTCCACAGAAACATTCCTGCCGATAAACACAGTGGTTTGGGAAGAGAGAAAAACACAGAACATACAGCATGCAGTGGTTTGTTATTAATGACTGAAAATCTGAAATTTTTTATCTAAGGAATGAACGCATAACAGGGACATCTCTTTTTTCATGCAGTGATATGAATTAGAGATTAACTGTAGAAGCTATAAGGTAATTCAGACAAACACAACAAGGGATCTAGTCATTCTTGAGCTGAAAATATGTTAACAAAAATATTAGCAGCTACTGTAAAGATTTTCTAATCACTGCTTATCTGTAATAGATCCCCTGGCAGCTCTACTGGCTTTAAAGTCATGAGGTCACCTTATTGGTATAGCCTCATAAGTCTAAGTACACACAAAACTGAATTATATATCCATCAGATACAGCTATAATTCATTCCACGAGCACTTTGTTGCTACCAGCTGCCAACACTACAACTTCTGGTAAGGATCTACCTATAAAGAGCTAATAGAGGAAAATGAACACTTTAAAAACACTCCAGATTAATATGCAACACAGAGATTTAGAAGTAATCCTAGAAGATAGAATGAATTAGATAGAATTACAATCCTTTGCATGTCACAGCTTCAAGAATCTTTGTGATCCACAGTATTCACAAGACCACTGATGAAATCCCATATTAATAATACACTAGGTGGATGCATATGCTACTTATAAGTTATAGCACATTCAGTATAAAACAAAATTAATTTTGTGTAACTACAGAAATCATAATCATTATTCTGGAAATCGAGTGGAAGCTATGACACTCCAGCATGGGTACGTGTCTACAAAATTGTCACAGAACCATTCAGTTTTCAGCTTAGGGAGGCTATGTTTACTGTTTACTTTATTTGCTCCACACGATTTTTTTTTCTTGTCCTTAGTTCTGTAAACTATTTAGTGTGTTTGATATTGACGTCCTTTTCTGTTACTCATTTTTCAAATTTAGTATTTGGTTGTTTATTTTAAAATTTAACTGAAACAATTTTTAACTACTTTGCATACTACCGAAATTTAAAATATTAACATAGACCAGTGACTGAACCAATGCCACAGAATTTTGTAGAGAATAACAATTTTGAAGGTAATAATAAAAAAATCTCTACCACAACAGGTCAAAAAAACAGGTGACAGTTCTGCACATTTCAACTGGTTTTAGCCAGAGTTACAGGTAACCTCACTTTGATTATCATTGTGTATGGTATTTTACTTATTAATCAAAATAAAGACACATTTATTAACTGATTGTATCTATCTGAAACAGGGTAACATTAAAATAGACACTTATCTCAAATGTCACACATTCCATTCACAGGTGTTACAAAACTACATTCAGCTCCATCCATCAATTTCAATCCCCACAATTTATTTTAGAGTTTAGCTTCAAGTTCTGAAATGACCACTATGCCCTTTTTGGGCAGTCTTACCTCTAGCAGCACCTCTTTATTTCTATCTGCCATCTCAGAGGTTTCTTTCTTCCCCAGAAGATAGTTCTGTAACAAGAGAAAGCTTAATATTTGTATAGGCATTCTGAAATCAAGCCAAATAACATTTCTCATTTACCTTTCTGTAGCAGTAAGAAAAAAAAAACCAGCTACTATCCATGAACAATACATTAGTTGAACAGAACTTTGTAGTCCAGTTGAAACTATCTGTCAGAATGCTAAATAACACATAGAACTAAGCTATAACCACCTTTTCTGGAAATATCAACCAGTCTGTTACTTAAGAGTATGGTCTCATAACAACTCTGTCCTGACTTTCCACAAAGCAAAACTGCCTGGTACAATGCATCCAGAAATAAAAATACTATGAACTTGGAAATCCCACAATAAAATTTTTTTAAAAGCCAGGGATCTTTAAACTTGTTACATACTGCCATTATTTATGTATTCAAAGAAGGACACACAGAAGCAATGTACTTCTTTCCACCCTGCCTGGACAGTTTTGCTGAATATTTATTTTTCATGAAGAATTACTAAATACTCCTTATCTTCTTAAAAGGAACCTAACTACGCATAGGTACTGTATCTTATGTAGTAAGTTTTGTACACTCCTCTTCAGCTTGGAAAGCACAGGGACAATTAAAATCTTCCTCTTTCTAACTCCTACCTCTTATACTAGAGAAGAGCAATATTCACAAAGTGTAGCCTGTCCAATATTTTAAACCAAGGAGAAATAATGCTGGTACCTCATTCTTGTTGACAGTGCCTACTGCATGTACTGGTATTAAATGTATCAACTACATGCTTTTAAAAAGAATTGAGAGTGCTGCCGCTTCATCACAAAGCACTTGAATAGGATTTGATTTTCAATTCTTGCTTTAAAAAAAAATAAAGTACACTGATAGTGTCCCAAAGGATGAGCATGCAACATTGATAGTTTAAAACCAAGAAATTACCACACAGATGCCATACAGATACAGAAATAATCTATGACCCCAAAAGGGAATACTTAGGTAAGACTTAGGAGAGAGATCACGTGATATCGTGTCCAGTTCTTTTCAATTCAAATTCTTCAAAGAGCCACCTTCTGCTTTTCTGTTTCTTTTCCTCCACTCCGTTATAATACTGAACTGCTGCCCGATACCAAATCTGTAACTATCATTTGAGAGAGGAGAGGCCTCTGAGGCCATCTGAGAGAGGAGGGGCCTTTGGTTTCCTAGACAGGGACCAGGTCACACAGGTGAATAAAGGCAGGTCCCAGCTGCCACAGGGAGGGACACATGCTCTCTTCTCTTCGCTTGCCATTTGGCCAAGGAGTAGCTATTCTCTTGGATTTTCTCTTCCCCTTCTTGCCACCAACATAAAAATACACAGCGGAGTGACATTGCTATTAGCAATATCTGTCAACACCTTTCTTGAATATTTACATAATTGAAAGGCACTAAGTAATTGGTATAAATGCCAAGAAACTACTTGCCTTCACCTCCATTAAAATTACCCATAAACACATTAGCAAACAGATTGCTTCAGCTCATGGTTTTCAGATAGGAACTTGATTTTGTGCCAACCACAATGTGGATACATGATGCTGAAATGCAAAGTTACCTGGCATTTTAATACATACACAAGTATCAAAATAAAAATATGAAATGAATGTGACCTAAAAAAGCAAAAAGCTGCAATGAGGCATGCATGCGTGCATACACACATGCATTCAACATGAACCTCAGGCTTACCTGGGGATTCTTGAAAAGTGCATATTTCTCTATACGTTCCACAAACATTAGTTTGTTTTGACTATCTCTTGTCCAATTCAGGAGGTTTTCAACTAAATTTTCATGGTCTTCAAAGATCCTTTCTGCAGTGATAAAAAGAGAGCAAACGCATTTGAATGTCACATTTTGTGATAGAAACTACTCTGTAGACATATCCAGCAGACAAAGCATATATGTAGAGAAAAAACAGTTCAAAGTGTACTAAAATGGGTAAGAAGTTTACACTAAGAAACTAAAATAACTTAGTCAACTTTCAGACATGCCTGGTTTAATTTTACACATACAGTCACTCAACACTGTCACATCCATCTCTTCAGGGTTATAGTTACTTTAATATATGAAAAGTTTTTCTTTTTTTCACCCGACAAAGCCTACCAGCCCACATGAACACAGCAGACTCAAATGACAACATTTCAAATGTTATAAGAAGGTTAGCACATGTATATGTACTCTGGTCCACACAATCCCTGGAGGAATTTATTAGGAAACTTTTTCAGCACAAAATTTGTTCTACATCCCCAATCACTATTCACTCGTAAAGTATCAAAAAAAAGTAAGAGACGATGATCAGATGGAAAACACAGTGCTTCCAAAATGCAGAATACCCATGGCCAGTGTGAGTATTGTAGAAGTCTGAAAACTGACACTGTCTATTTCTTACAATCCATGTTGCTGAATAAATGATGTACCAACAATGGCTTCTGAGAACTCTGAGCTTTGACATTCTGTTGAAATAGTTATCACTAGTATAAAATACTGAAAACAGGCAAAAGAAGAGAGGAAGAAAAAAGAGGAAAATTTACAAAACCAGTAGAGATATCTGAAAACCCTTATTCTAAAATAAATAAGGAAGAATACATCTTTGGGAAAACACTAGACCAACTTTCTAATTTCAAAGACACTGAAGTAGATTCTTGCTTTCTGCAATTTATTCCCTCTTCACATAGGCCACATAGTGGTATTTCAGCAAATGAATCATTTCAGAATCATTTGTGACTTGCTTGACCTTTCAATTGCACCTGAAAGCAGAACTTCCCCCCCCCTCCTCCCCAATCAATTACACCACATTTTTACAGAAGCACTGATCACATCCAGACCTGAAGACTGAGATGACAGATGACATGTCAACAGCTTCGGTAATTACGAATACTAAGCACAGCAAATGCAACAAAATGTCATCTGTAGGGAATGAATGTTTGAGATGACAACGCAACATTATTGAGGTCTCTGAGATCTTTCTAAGAAGCTTTTGAGTTATAACTCATGACTTCCATAAAGCTTTATCAGCAACACAGCAATACTACCTTCCAAGAATGTGAAAAAGGTGTTACCTAACAAAAGAACAAACCAAAAAAAACTTCAGAGGACTGTGATATAAAAGCTTAAATCTCACTGTAACCTCATTAGTGAAACTGGATAGCTTTCAAAACATAAACTGTTATTACAAGAACAATAACTGATCTCAAACACAAAAAAACCCTTTATTCACTGTGTATGTACCTGTAGAATGTAAAACTGTCTGCAATGCAATATTCCTATCATTAAACATACTCTGTGTAACATTGCAATAAACATTCTAACTCACAGATACTTCATAGACACACTCTAACTGAACAAATGAAGACAACCTTTGTCCAAACCAAAAGAAATATTTCAAACTTGCTTCTGTTACAAGCTTGCAGGGTAAAACTGGGCAAAGCATTTCCTTCTGCATTCTGGAAATACTATAACCGAGTTCTGAAAGTACGTATAAAGCTCCTGGTTAAACCATTAGATTGTAACAGGTGGCCTTCTACTTCACATACCTAAATCAGACTCCTTGAAAACCAGTTAACCTCTTGCATTTGAAGCAGACCACATAAAATGTAAAGACAGTCAGGAATTTCACAGGCCTCATGTCTTTTTCTGTAGTTTGTTAGCTTAAAACTTCACTGCATTTTATTGAATTGCACAATCAACTGACAAGACAACATGCTAAAACACATTGTGAAAGTACACAGGTCTTCTGTGTCTCACTAAAGCAAAATATTATAATAAAGAAGTTCCTTCCTCTTACATAGGCATTGTCAGAAAAAAATGTTTCAAAAGACGAACTGGCAAAACACAATACAATATACAATAGTACATAGGGTGAGGGCTCTGTTGTAAACATTTTTTCATCTGTTTTTCACATTCCAGTATAAAATATATGAATCAGACTGAATTTTGATTGTCTTTTAAAATAAACCCACATATGTGTAATCTATGAAAAACTACCTACCAGTTGATCTACCAAGGAAAGCCAAAGTGAAAAATGAAAGAGGAAACTGAATTCTACCCTCTTGCATCTCTTAGATTTCTCATGCTGTAGTCTGAATTTAAAATTCTGTAATTATAACAGATGTTGTTCTTCAGCTTGAAACTCAGTACAGCAGTCAAATTCTACCATTCCCACTATGTCACTGAGCCATACAGTAGGACATGCATATTACTTGCAAAACACTCAACAAGAGATTTGTTAACCCTGGTTTCATTTCAAATTTATCTTAATTTAGTCACAGTGTTAATGTGGATATATATCAATTTATCTTTCTGTCTGTAGCCTAGCTCTTTGTTTCCAACATTAGTTTAAAATATTTTTACCAGTACTTTTTTCCTTTTTTCTTTCCAGGTTCACAGTGAATGGAAGTGTCTTATGAAAGCAAATCTAGAATGGGAAAGACCCCTGGTCGTGCATTGAGTTCAGGATGCTGCTACCTAGACATTCAGAGATTTTTCAGTGATAGAAAGATAAAACTGTTGCAGAACTAATAAGGTTATTTATTCATACTATTCTCATTGGTAACATATTACAGAATAACACCTTTGATTTTTATATATCAAATTCGGGTTTACATAGAACTTGTGCAAATTCCTACTGGTTTCAAAACTAAGCAACTTTTAAGATTTCATTTATTAAAATTTTAATATTTTCAGCATAGTAAGATGTTATTTTTCATATGAAAGGTAGAAGATTAAAAGGTTGCCTTGTGACCCTATAACAGCCTTTTATGTCTAACAATAAGCCAAGTTAACATGCTACAGTGCCTGAAATAGAAAAGTTTTCACCAAAAGACAGAGGAAATACTAATTTGCATTTTAATTTTAAACCAAGATATTTGGGTTCGGTTCTGGGCTTTTCTTTAGTCAATGGGTAAGGTGCTTAACAGCTCTCTGATGTAATTCTCTGATAATGGAGATAAGTAACACTGGGGGGGTTTTATCATTTTGCCCCTTTTTCATTCAGATGCAATATCCTTTGGCTAAATGAACAACTTGCACCGTGGTATGTGCAATACAGTGCAAAGGAGCTTTAACTGCCTTTAGAGCCATATTGGCAATTGCATTCAAATATTTAAGAGAAAAACACTGTATACAGCTTTTTGTAATAAGAGCTATTAGGATCAGTACAAAATACTATTTACAAAAAGGAAGATGCACAGTAAATTTTTTATTCCTTCTTTTTTCTGTGAGGAAATAGATCAAAACCAAGAGGCTCAGTGATTAGACATTAGTAAAATTCCTATATCACACCTTAGAATTCACGACACATTTTTGATATGAAAGAATCAAACATTTCCAGATCATTCAGAAACAACGTCGTTCATGAGCCTTATTACATGAATGAACATTTACTACATGAATGGAGGGATGAACATTATGAAGACAAGAATTTAAAACATTCTGAGGACATAGATATAGACAAGTATTACATCGATAGATAAGAATTATAAGTCTTTATAATTATTACTTACCCATTTGCAATTCAGAGATGGTTTCCACCAATGACCAGTCTAAACTGTAACCACAATGTGATTTGTCCATCAGATTGTCTAATACTTGTCTCACAGTCTGCCTCTCATCCACCATCATTGTTTTTGAACTGTCATCAGACATATGGACTCTGATCACCAACTATTAAGCAGAAAATTAGGAAAACAAGGATTAATTTCCCACATTTCAAATAAAAACATGGTTTTTAAGATTTTCTTTCCTTTTCTAAGATTTTTCTTAGAATAGTATAAAATATTAAGTTCAATAAAAACACTCCCTCAAAATTAAAAAAAACATAAATGATGGTTAAATATGTGTAATCACAGACACTTAAGTTATTCTCTTATACTGAAGGAGAACAGTAAGTATAAAGGTCTTCCCAATACAATGACAAAATGTCTTAGTTGTGTGTTAAGGATGAAAAAAAATCCCTCCTGCCACAATGTCCTGTTCTGATTAATAATGTGTCTTTGTGACAATTTATCTCATGTATTCAGGTGGAAGAGAGTTCCGCACGACCTTATATAGACTGATTATTTTTCACATTTGCAAGTTAAGCTTTCTGCCCGCTTCCTCCCCATTTTCTAAAAGTGCTGATTATATAAACAAAATACCTATACTAAATCATCTTTTTCTGGGGAGTAGAAAACATTAGTGCAGAAGAATTTTGCTTTTAAAACACAATGGTTATTTACAGGCACTTTAAAGAGGTCACTGTCCAGAAAGAAAAATGTGTCCACTTTTTTAACCAATCAAAAACCTTAAGACAATAGATTCTTTTGCCAATTATTATGGTTCCTTTTTATACCTTCTTCAGCTAGAAAAGTTAAAATGCACTAGTTGTAATACAGTGGCTGGCTTGTTAATTCCCATCTTACAGCAAGGTTTTGAGTTATATATATATATATATCAGATTTTAATATATAAACACTAAATGTACACAGCATTTTAAGTTACTGAAGAAGCCCAAATGTAAAACAAGAATGCTAAATAAACCTGTATGTATCACTCACCTTTTTCACTTGTGCCTCTTTAATCTTCTCTAACGCAACCCGAATCTTCTCAGCTTTGAGTTTAGCAGCCTGTTCCTCCTATGGGGACACAACACAGAATTCCAGTTAACACAAACTTCAGTCTGGTTTCAGTGGATTTAATTTTGACACTACCATGCTTTAAAAAATGAACTGAAATGATGATATACCCACCTATAAATCCTCAACTATTTCTCAGCAATGATGAAGACTATTATTTTTTTTAAGACGAAAAGCGTTACTATATAGATATCTAACATTTAGAAATACAACTGCCATTGTCCCCAAAAGAACATACTGGAGGTATGTAATTTGTATAAACACAACTGGCATTTCTCTGTTCCTGCATAGTGTAAGTAGCCTTGTGCATTGCTACCAAATATTTTAGTATATCGTGTATTTACAGTCATAGATTTGGACAATACATATTCAACAAGATTGTATACTTGAATACACCCAATAGGTTTTTGATCAAGATTTTAAACCATTAAATCTGTTGGCAATAGGTAAATAGCTTGTACACTCTCTTTATCTTTACTAGATCCAGGCTGTATTCCTCCTTGCTTTAAGTATTTTAAGACACATAAAGCAAATGAGCATCCTTTTCTATGATGCTCTTTCAAGTAATCTATTTTTGTTACAACGGGAAATGCATTAAAAATTCAGATAATTGAAATCTATTCTATCTGCTGATGCTAAAGAAATCGGTATATTGTAAGACTAGCAATACTGTTTTTTAATTTCTGGAGATTATTGATATTTCTGTTAAAAGTGGATTTGAAATAGGCAGCTAAACAAGCAACCACTCTTTTCAAGATGCCTATGCAGGTTTTCTGATTTCAGAAATCTTAAATTGTGGATGTTCATTGAGGCTAATATCTAAAAGTTTCATAATTATTTTTAAATCTCTATAACAATAAACAAGCATATTAAACACACAAATCCCCTCCAAAATATTCAATCTCCTTAGAAAAGAAAAATTAAGATTTTTCTCAGATCAAAAGTAGCACAGCCCATCACACTCAGCATGGCACAGACATTTCGTTTTGCATTGCTTTCTTGTATAAATATAATCTGTGGTTTCTTTACCATGTGTTTAGATGGTTGCTTTTCTTGTAACAGTCAAGATTCAGATATCCTGAAATCCACAGAGTTTAAGCTTTCCACTTCTCAGAGAATTACTAATATTCCTATCAACTGCTGAAGGGCATTCTCTATCTTACTTATTCTACTCTTACTTTACAGCTTTTGCTCCCTCACACCTGTGACCATACTACACACCAGAAAAAACATCAGCTTAACAGGACAATAGGCTACCTTGTGAGAAACACAATTCTTTTCAATAAAATGAACCAGTAAGTTGAGAGGAGCAGAAAATGTGAGCTTGAAACATTATCTGGGAACTCAGTTACCTAGAAACACAGCTTTTTATTAGTCTACAGGGAACTATACCTTTTTATTCACCATAACGATGGTGTCATATACCTAGAAAGGTTAAATCAGATTAGTATTCTATTAAAAACAAACAGTGCCATGATACCTAGAATCATTTAATGTAAAACACACACACAATTCTAAAATATTCTTCCTTAACGTTAACCATTTCCACCCATAGAAATAAATTATTACTCAAAAGCAAGGCTTTTAATACTTGCAGGTTTCTAAAAGCGATACTATGAACCTATGCATTATGAAACCAGCAAGATCAAAAGACTTCTCTTTATTGTATATTTGGAGAAACTGAAATTTATGGTTTAAAAGAGCTGCTCATTAACCCAACCATAAACCTTTGTTGCTGTACAAAGGTTGACAGCACGTTTGGTTTTGCTCTTCACTAAAGCCAAGCAGCACAATTTTCCACCCCATTTCACTGCACATCTGTGCAATGCAACTGTCTACAGCAAACCCCAGCAGGAGCACTTTACAGCCACAGCCCACAGGCACAGGCACCCACAAGAGAGCAACAGGGATTCAGCTGGGGGCCTCTCATATACCTGTGCCAACGCAGCTAAAATGCCTTTGTTGATCCCAAAGTTTATAGACTGTCATTCCCTAAAATGCTTTTAAAAATAAATATGTAGACCAAAAGAGATTGAGAATTTACTATTTTAATACTTATCAATTACTTTTCATTTCCCACACAATTTTAATGCGGGTCCACAGATCAGGATTTCTTACACTTTGTTAAATTCTAGTAAAGTCGGTTAAAATTTAAACAAAAACCCAGAACTAAAATTATAAAAATAAGAACTGGTTTGAACCAGCAATAAGTTATAAAAAGAGATCTCAATCCACTTACTGTAAATGCAAAGAGGAAAAGAAAGCAAGAATTAGAAACTTCTGAAAGCACATAGTAGTCAAGGATTTTAAGTTATTCAAGTTTTGCTGTATAGTTAGTGCTGAGGCCACTGTTGCATCATTGCCAATGTGACAAACGATGTTGCACTGGAGCAGGAGGAGGAACTATCTATTTTGATTACTTAATAACATATTTTAGCAACTACAGAATTCTTCAAAACCTACATCAATTTATTCCATTTCTCTCCTAATGGCCCAGGAAAACAGCCATCCACATCCCCATCCCGAAGCCACTTCAAAACTGCACTCAGACACAAACACAGGCTCTCTTCTCCCCGGTACATGGAACCAAGACAACTCTTCAGTGGGAGGAAGCATGTGTGATCCATCAGCTAACAACATTTTTCATTGCACACAAAGAAAGGTGACAGGTGGCAAAAATATCTGACTGCAACTATAAACTATTCAACACCACAAACTAACAAGGCCAGGACATATATCACATTTAACTTAGGTATTTATTTCCCCTTTGCTAGTAAATCCTTCTGGCAATAGTGGTGCAAGTTTGGCTGCCAAAGGGAAATAAATATGCATGTAAATGGCAGGATTGCTGCCTAGGTCACAGTTCCCCAAGTGGCATATGCCAGAATAAATCTCTCATATGGCTGATACACCTGCCTCCCTCGCCCAGCGTTACTTCTCAGTTATAGCAGTCATAGTGCTGCCATAGCCACACAGACAATTCAGTCAGGGAGCTGATCTGATAAAAAATTAACACAGCAGAGAGATTCAGCAGAATCCACTCCCTGGCAAGACTGCCCTTCTGGTCACATACATGCTATGAAAAAGCATAAAGGAGATACATACAAATACCCATTGAGTAACACCACAAAACATAAAGGACTCATTTCCACCTCTGACAGGAAAAGGATATGCTCTTTTAGTAGCAGTACAGATCACAAATTGCAACATAAATGTCTCACTTTAATGGGACAACTTCAGGAGTATTGTTATACCCACATTTTAAAGTTCTGAGCTAAGATTACTTGTGGTTACAGAAAACATCACACCTGATTGAAAGAATGCTTAAAAACGTACTTATGTTAAGAACTTGTTCATCTAAAGTACCCTAACATAGTTCTGAACTAAAATTGAAAGAGTACAGCTCTGCAATGCAATGGTCTTTAATTAATGTGGTTTTCTATTTATTATTATGCCAGAACTCTGTTTTCAATAATTTTAGCCTATACTAGAATACTACAAAGAATAATCTCAAAAAATCTAAAACTAAGATTTCCATAAAATAACAACAATCACAACCTCCTGCCCCAGTTTCCTGTTAAATGTGCAGTTACAAAATATTCCAGCTGTGTTTTAACCTTAGATATGCAAGATGTGTGCTACAACAGAGCTGACCTTGCTCAAATGATTTTATGCCTCACATTTTTAGGTTGGGATTTTATTTTTTGTTTTACTGTACATTATTAAAATGTCATTAGCTGACCCCTTTTACAGAGATCACAGGCAGAATGGAAAAAAAAAAGGGGGGGAAGGAGAAAAATCACTTAACAGTTACAATATTTAGGAAAGCTAGTAATTAAGTAAGAGGTAATTAACAAAGTCCACATTTCACTTAAGTTAGCAGGGTAGATACACATATCATAAGAGGCATAAAAGAAGAAATGGCTTTTATGTTTAGTATTTTAAATTTTTCTCTGAATTCTTTCTTTGAATGCAGATAAGATCAAGTAGCATTGACTTCTGAAAGACTAGAAGCAGGTATTCACTGTTTATTTTCCCAGCTACAGTCTAGCCTCAGATAGAAATGCAATCACCTATTTTGTAAGGACTCTCCTTTCTGAAGAGTATTTATTGAAACAGAGGTTCCTGTTGCCCAAGAATACCATATTAATTTGTACCTAATTCCCCCAAACTTCAAGACATCTGTATTAGTCCCATGTTTAATGTGTATCAATCAGAATATTAATTACATTAATAGTGTATTCTGTCAATTGCTTTCATTTATTATTACAAAAAAAAAAAAGAACACTAGAACAAGTATGTATGTGAACAGCACTGGAAGGGGAAAGCTGAACAAGTGAATGTTAACAGCAGTTTGTATTTCTTAATAAACTCATTAGGACAGGCAGAACACCTCTACTCTAAAAAACAGTGCGTGGCAATGGTGGCACAGTCCGTTTACAAACAGTGAACTTTTGTTTACAGTATTAGTTCATGACCATTCTCAAGACATATGCTTTACTGTGTTTCTTCCCACAATAACACAGAATAACCTGTATCTGAGTAAAGCAGAGAAGGAAACAAGGCATTACTCTCTTTCAAAGCTCACTAAATATGAGTGTACAGCAGCCACTTTCCTGGTGAGGGGTCCATCTTCTCTTCCCAACTTAATATGCAGTCTTCTATACCTCAGGCACATTCCTAACTTACTGTCACCATATTGTATTATGTTAATAAATATGGAAATGGATGTAAAGCAGTAGTATTGTGTTGGAGATTGTGTTTGAGAATTACTCACCTGAGAAGTTTTCAAATATTACAATTATACTACACTGAGGTAGTACCATATTTTTCCTTTGTTCTACTTCTGTGAACCATTCACAAACTTTAACTCCAACACAGAAGATGGCTTCTGAATGGTAATTGGAAAACAGCAGTTACATTTAAATGCACCTCAGAGCCACACTGGCCCTTGCCACAAGTTCCTACAGAAGCGACTCCCACAGACTATTAGGGCAAAG